TTCTTTGGTCGGACCCGGAAACGCGTGGTTAGACCCGGGTATTTCGGTTCTCTCACCGTACCGGTACGTCCCCCAAGGAATCCCCTGGAACGAACTGGGCAACCGACCCCAGTTCCCCAGCATGGCAAGAACAGATCGTAACCACATCTGCTAACATAGCAGATCGTCAACCACGTTCTGCGACCATCGGAGCCAACAGAAGCCCCAATCCGCGTTACATGGAGATTACTCCGGCCAACCGACTCCGGAGAAAACGAGAGGATTATACGCACATGGCGCGGAACACGCGTCGCGCGCGTTCCACGCCATGTTTGCCAAGCACCCGTGGCCAACTTTGGAACCGGGTAGCCGAGCAGCCTTCACCATTGTAAACGACGGAAATCCCTCGGCCGAGTCGCCAACAGCGCAAGAAAACTCGGACTACGTGTACTTGAGCCGACCACAAAGGCCGACCTTGTACTTTCCTTATAACTTGGAGACATTGCGGACATAGTTGCATTAGCCGACCACACAGGTCGGCTGTGCAAGCCGACTGCACAAGTTGGCTTTGGAAATGATAGCCAGATCGACTAGAAGTCGACATTATGGCCGACCACATAGGTCGACCATAGCGGCCAACAGAAGTCGACTACGGAGAATGCATGGAAGCTGGCAGTAACCTCGTGGCAATCCAACCGGATTCTCCGTTTGAATCCAGACCTACAGGCTCTGTACCTGGAGATCAACCGCAGTCTCCCCCGGGCGACATTGGGCAAACCAGCCGATTTACCGGTGACCACGACTACGCGCGTCTCCGAACGTGCTGTCATTCCCTGAAGAGGAACAGCGACGGTGATTTGGATACTGGTGTACCAACGACTCCGCCGCGACCTGCTTCCCCATGTCTTCAATGGAACATCCTAGGCAGACCGCGTTAGAATACGCGACCTGCACCTTCCTAACGAACCCCGCTGACAAGAACCATGCAGCCGCAACAAAAGTGGCAGCATGGCCTTTGTCAGCGGCAAAGAAAATTTCCCCGTGGACATGAGTTGCCTACCCCCAACAGAAGCGGCTAGGCGTCACAGATTCGCGATAAAACAAAATGGAAGAATCGGATCTGACGACCTCAGGGACTTGCATGTGCATGAAGTTTAAACCAAAGAGCTCGACTTCACAACCGGGGCCACAAAGACCCTTGGTGTTGTAAGTCAGCACAATTGCATGATGAAGCGCCAGTCACCCGGCCAACAGATGCCAAGAAAACTCCTACCTCGTAAGATTCGGCGGCCCAGAAGCAAGTCATTCGGATTGACCGACCTCAACAGTAGCTCGGATCCGACCCAGAGTTCATGTCAGAGATTACAGAAGGAACGGAGTTGTGCTGCTGAACATCCCTCTGCCAGTCCGAACTGACCGAAGGATGTCCTGACACCAGACCCGGCCAACTGTAGCCGAACGCACAGAACTCCCAAATGAAGGAACCACCAGATGGAGGTCGGAAGTGGACGACAACAAGGAAAATCCACCAGAAGTACGAAATCGACCTCCCAGTGGAAGAATTAAAGTTTATCCGACCTTAAGGAAGTCGGAAAATAGCCGACCTCCGAACCTGGATAGGATCCGACCTCAAGCCGAGGTCGGAAGTGATCGCACAGAAGTCGGAAGGACACGACAACAAGTCGGCAAAGGCATTTGGAAGTCGAGAACCGACCTCCTAACGGAAAAATCCGACCTTCGGACGGATGAGCACACAGTTCATCCGACCTCCGAAGTCGACCATAACCGACCACATGTCGGAAGTCGGCAACTCTAGTCAACATGACGGAAGAAGAACGACATCTGCCTGCGGTGGACGAATTCGACTTGAAGGAACTTGTTTAGCCCCACATGGGCATGTTATTGCAGGTTAACCCTAGTCGACCACCGACGGATAGGATGACCGACCTCGACAGAAGGTCGGATAACAACGGAACATATTGGATGGAAGTCGACTCGACACTTCCGCCGAAGAAACCTATGATTTCCGATCGGACCTTCGAGCCAGTTCGACTCGGATTATTCTAAACCAGGCTCGTGGTAGCAGATTGAACGGTTGTAACCGACCACTTTTGAACGGAACTGCTGTACATGACGACCACACAGGCCGCATGACTTACATACAGCTTTTTCCGACCTGGACTTTAAGAATTCGGAACATAGCCGAATTTCCCAGCCGCCACCGGTCGACTTACCGGTAGGCCGACCTTGGTCAAACCGACCTCGGCCCTATTCCCCATTCAGAGAGGATGCCTCGGCATTTGCACCCGCAACAGTGCCTCTCTATCCCGAACGGACGGATACGAGTCGGAAGTAAGTGTTTAACCGTGCTTATCCGACCTCGGTGAATGTAACCGGTTACGACGGGTAACCCGGGAACCGATGCCCCGGACCCAACTTACCGGATGAAAGTGGACAGGAGACCCCGTGGAGACTCAACTGCCCCGTGGACGTCATCCTAGTCGGAATAGGACCCCCGGACAGATTTTGCATTTTTTTAGCATTTCTCCTAACAAACGGAATTGTATTTTTCTAGTTCGATCTCTTTAACAGATCTGTTTTGTAACCCCTTTTGCTCACTGGAATTGTGATTAAACTTTATTTCATACTTTCTTTCGCGCTGCATACAACTTTCATTACATTTTTCTTTCACATTGTTCTCCGCTGCCAACAGAAGCAAGAAGCCAGCCAACAGAAGCATCACCGGTCCAACGAAACGCCCGAGCGGCTTCCGGATTTTCGGCCGTGAGTGGTTTCCCACTCATGGGTCTGGAAGTAAAGAACGGACGGTCGACCAGACACCGGACTCCCACTGCCAGAGGACGCGTACCAGCGACCCCACATTGGGTCCGACTGGAGAGTTGTGCGGTACTGGTGCGGTACCGAGTCGGAGCATCCTTCGCAGGAGCTCGGATTCCCGCCCAGAGGCATGTCAGAGGCACATGACTGCGCCTGGTGCATACGGCCCACCATGGACGTATTTGCACTCATGCTTGCCATATCGCCTCTCTCGCTGTACGTACGTGTGTGGCTGCACTGCACTCATATCCGCTGGAGCGGATATACGCGGCGCACACACTGAGCATACTTGCTCTCTCGTCCCTCTCTCGCAGTATGACTCGCGTTCCAGTCGCATCATCACACAGCTGATGGCACACAGCACGTGCTTGCCGCCAGTTGCTTTTTCACGCCTTGGCGAACGCTCAAGAGCTCTTCTAGCATTCACTTGCTTGCTTAGCCATCAGTGCTTTGTTTTGCTTTCCTGCTATTACGCAGCATTGTTCCCTTTATTTGTCAATAAAGCACACTCGTGATCTCCTCGCGCTTGCCTGTTACATTACATTTCTTACGCTCATAAATTTTTTGAATACAGAAGATTCGTACGTTTCTTTAAATAAAAATTTTCGAAACTAATGTACGCCACGACAATACGTACGGATGTAGATCCCGTAAACTGGTTATATGAATACTGATTATCTGTGCCAGTACTTCGGCCCTGTCCTTTGAGGCGAAGGATCTCGGCTTCTACTTCACCAATTTTGTTGCTTTAAAGTACATCAAAATTCTCTAGGTGTAGCGGTGGATCCAAGAATGTTGACTTTTTGCCAAAATCATTTGTCTGGGTCCAGTGGTCAATCATAAGCTTGTTACCATGGACGCGATAAGAAATACACACTGTTCTAACACAACTTGACCCAGAAAAGTAGAAATATCTGAGCTGCTACTTAACAATAAGTACGAGTACAATACAAAGTAAAAAATTAATGTAACTTAACACGTTAGTCATAATCACGTCAGACATCCTTGCAAGTTATGTACTGTATGTACAAGTAAACAGTCAAATCAAAATGCAATACACAAATTAATAGAAAAGACACGCAAACTACAACATAAAAATTTCGTTCAGTTTGTCCAGCCCTTCCATCGAGCCTAGCACTGACGCCGCATTTTCCCGTTGAAAGTAAACAGTCCGTGTTTCCGGTTCGATTAACTTATGTAAAGTGTATCATTCATTCATTCATTCATTCATGTATCAGGAGCAGACAACCCGTTTAACAGGACTTCAATGTCTGGTCGGTAAAAATGCAGCAAAAAATTACAGAAGAGATTATTTAGACAGATCAACAGTTTTCAGAGCAAACTTGAAAAAGCTAACACCGCTAACACTGAGTGTCTGTGAATTAACTTTTTGAATCCGCTCAAAAACGTTCTTTAACCGCATGGCCAGCGTGCTTTCTCCGATTTTCTGTTTCGCTCTGGCTTGGATTCGTTTCGGCTTCCGGAGATTGTACTGCGGTGACAAATCCTTGAAGTCGATCAGTTCACCCAGGTAGGGCGGAAGTTTATACACTTCATGGTTGTAGATCTTATACAACCAAACGGCTTCCGACTGCTTCCAACGGTCAAATACCGGCAGGATGCGCAATCGCTGATACAGCTCGGGGGTTACCCGCTCCTTGTAGTCAGTAATGGCCTGCAGTGCTTTCCGTTGGGCTCTGGTCAGCTTGTCGCGTAGAGTCGAAAATGCTGGTGACCACGTATCCGACCCGTAGTCGAAATGTGGCTGCACACAGGCATGGTAAAGACTCCTGCGCTGTGACATGTCCAGGCCTTGTTTCGCTGCGTTTATCATTGCAATGCCGTAGTTAATTTTCCGCAGTACATGGCTAAACTGTTCTTCCCACTTCAAATTTTGATCGATGTAAATACCGAGGTATTTTACGCATGTTTGCGCTTCCAGCTGGTGACCGTTCATCTGCACTGTAGGCGCAGGCTGATTTTTCCTTGATAGTGGACAAATGTAAATAATATAGATATTACTAAACATACGTACGGGTTTATTAATATTGTATGACAGTCTGTAAGCGACCGCAAATCAACACACCCTTGGAGCTACTTATTTTTTAATAGTCATCGGCCAATATTCATCCGTGCTGGGCTTGTATTAATTAAACAAGACGTGCGGATCACAAAGTCGTAAACCGGCCAGATCGTTTTTCAATTATCATCCCAAAAAGCGTTAAAAAGAATCAAGGGCTCATGCATAAAAAAGGTTAACTAAAAAGCGGGTGAATGTTGCGAAATGAAAGCAAGTATACAAACAGTCAAGTGTTATACAGGGGGAAACGATCCAACGGAAACCAAAAAACACACAGCATGGCTTTTATTACTGCACTATTTTTACGTTAAATGGCGACGTTCGTCATCAAATAAATAGATATTTTGCAGAAAAAGAGGAAATCGCAAAAAAGAAGATTGTGATTACGGTGATTGTTCTCTTCCCCACGGTTTGCCACAATGGATGGGTCTCAAATACAATTAGCATGAAGACTGGAGCCGAATAACAAAAAACATCTTTGTCCACAAACAACAGTACAATGGGCTGATCCGCGCTGACTGGAGTCACATTTCCGCTCATTTTTGGTTCTTCAGCTGATTAGAAAGCCAATCCAATCCCTCATACAAGCCGTCACCGCTCGTGGCACATGTGGCTTGGATGAACCAATTGCGGTTTCGCAGGGAATGCAGTCCAAGTTTGTCGGTAATTTCTGCTGCGTTCATTGCATTCGGCAAATCCTAAACACCATACATCGTATAAGCAGTGTTAAAACGCAGCCTACTGTCAAAACATTCTATCAGTTTACCGAAATACAAAACTGAGTCGTCCAACCGTTTACATATGCATATGGCATACTTCTATGCATATAGACATTCGTTCAGTGAGTCAGAACAAACGTTTACTGGTATCTCAGGGGCTAATGCAGAGTTCTTCAGCGGAATATTTTACAATATCCCTAAACAGAACCTTGAGGACTGTAAGCATCATCGATACCACCCAACAGTCGTACTCAACAAATAAAGTAAAATGAATATTCTGCAAGGAAAGTCAGAAAAGGTATTTCCATAAAAAAAACACAGTATTTAAAAAACTAACATACATACAAACAGGAAGACTCGGCCCGATTACGTACAACAGCTGAATTTCAGGCTGAGAAGCCTCCAAACCAGACAATTAAATTACAAAAACGTTTACTTAAATCTTTAGCTACCTCGAGTAAAGCCAGGAAATCACCGATTAATGGCTATTAGTCTTTCAAAAACGTTTGCATATCTCCAAATCGTTATACATGGTCGCCGCTATCAGCTTGAAATGCCAATGTACCTGTTTATTGGCAAAAATAAGCAGAACAGCATCGCGTAATTCATCCTCAGCTAACATCCGCATCAATTCTTCCCGAGCTTCACCGACGCGCTCACGATCATTACTATCCACCACAAAAATCAAACCTGCAAAGTCCGTTTGTATGTTAGTCAAATGCAAAGAAGTGGCATCCTACAGCACAAGCAACCAATGCCATGTACAAATGACAACGAAAGATGTCGTCATCTAAAAAATTTTCAAAAAGCCCAAGCAAAACGCAAAGAACAGAAAGCTATTTAATAAATCAAATACATGGCATCTCAGGACAAACGAAGGTCTTCAGCGAAATATCTTGCGATATTCCTAAACAGAACCTTGAGGACTAAACATCACGGATACCGTAAGAAAGTAGGGCAAATTAACGAAACACTTACACTTAGCTATACGCCTGCGCCTGCAATACGTACTCATTGTCAGTGCTATTCACTTCAAATTTTTTCAGAATGGTGGACAAGTGGTGAACAACTTCTATAATAATTATGGTAATAACATTATACTGTACAAAGCAATAAAATTTAACAAAAACTTATTTCAGAGAAAACACAAAACACTTGATATTTTTACTGAAACACTGCAAGACGCAAGCCTGTCTGCAACATGTTTCGTCATTCTAACTGAAAAACTGACTGTGATTCGAGGAACCCAGCGACCTCATCACTGACAATCGCAGGGTCCACTCTCCGATTTCGAATGCCAGCTCGAGAGCTTGACACCAAGACTAGAAGCGCTGATTTTACAGTGACGTACCTTGAGTATTCTGGAAGTAGTGGCGCCATAGCGGTCGAATCTTGTCCTGACCACCCACGTCCCACACCGTGAAACTGATGTTCTTGTACTCCACCGTTTCCACGTTGAAACCTCAATCACACACGCACACACTACAGCCTTTATCTACGCGGATAAATCAGATGGTTCCCACTTACCAATGGTTGGAATGGTTGTGACAATCTCACCGAGCTTCAGCTTATACAGAATGGTGGTTTTACCCGCAGCATCCAATCCGACCATCAGAATCCGCATCTCCTTCTTACCAAATAAACCCTGGAATAACTTCTGAAACATATTCCCCATTCTGGCTGGATGGTGAGGGAAATCAGTTGAAATAAAACACGCAGTAACGTTGGCGTTCTGCGGGGAGGAAAAACAAACACCTGTGAGTACGTGGAATCGGAATATTTAAACAATCCTGAGACAAACTACACTGATAAATTGCGGTAGGCGATACGATCAAGCTGTGGCACTGATACGCCGTCGCTCTCCAGCTAGGCAACAATTCCTCGGTATCCACTATCCACACCACAAGCCTGGCTGATGACTGATTGATGGTTCTTCTGGAATATTCACAAACCGACCGAAGAGATGGGGAAGAACAGAGAAAATGCCAAGGGAATTTTTTTGCGGAATCTGAGAGAGAGAGCCAACCTGAAAATGGGTTAACGATGATATGGCAATGCCGTTTAGCACACTGTGAAGGGCGCTTGTCACCCTGTAGCAGTCTATGCGCGGTTCATATGCACTTACAGGGAACGTTGTTGATCGCGTCTGTCGATGTGCACCTGCCTACTCTGTATCCACGTGTACGTATGCTGGGTGAGTCATGGCGGAAGCGTATCGCCCCCTTTTTGTTCAAACGCCGACAAACGCCGCCTTTCTTATTTCCATTTTTTCGATATTTCTTAGGTTAGATTTGGATTTTGTTACAACAAACTTCTCAAAATACATAAATCTAGCCGCTATCTGGCTCGAAATGCTTCTTCCGTCTTTCGATTGAGCAACCAAACACCATTAATTTTGGCTTTCCCCAAAATAAATTACTGTACATTCCCAGTCAGCACGGCCCATGGCCATGGGTAGCAATTTCTTAAAGTACTTACTTGAATTAGTAATACTGTAATACTTTTAGTGTTAAAAATTCGACTGAAAATTTAAAGTAATTATTCATAACTCTAATTCCTAACTGTTTAGTTAAACTTTTATCATTACACTTTGTGCGTTCCAATCACACGCACCGTTCAGCAGCCAATTAAAATTTAAAAGTAGGTACTGACGTAGTGCGTACTATACCGTCTATACGAGTGTCAAGTTTTAGAATTTAATATTCACGGAGTTACATTGCCTATACAATCTGGAACCTGAGTTATACAATGATATCACGGCAATCCGACTGAAACAACTTCAATTACTCTTTACGAAGCTTAATTATTCTATCAAACTTTTTCAAATACCGCTGAGCAAAACCATTCTCCACACTCAAAACAAACAAAACCGGCATCGCGTGCTCCACTACAAATTCCTTATGCCGCAGCACCTCCCGGACTTCCACACCGTTATCAATCTGATAGACACACATTTGTTTATCATCACAGAAGAAACACCGAGCCTGTTGGCTATCATATTCACGTGCCGTATCCCATTCGGGTGGATTATCATCCAGGACCATCCGCAAAATCTCACCCCCTGTGCTCGTCTCGTCAACTTGCTCCAGAAAGTCCTGCTGATTGACTTCCGGAAACAGCAGCCGTATGGGCCACGCCAAGGCGCCATCGGGCAATAACGTAACCGACTGTCCCGACGGTGTCTTGGCTACTTGGTCGCCTTCGAACGGATTAGGCGGATGTAGACGAATGTTGCGGTCGGTAATGGCTTTCAAGAGATTGGCGTTTTGCTTGCCTTGTTTCTTCTGCTGCCGCTGTTTGAGCAGCTGCTTTTTCTCATCTCTCTGGACTGTTTTTCGCAGATTAATCAGGGACTCATTCGTCGGGTCCAAAAGTAAGCCGCGATCAAGCCACTGGAGAGATTCGGAAAATTTACCGATGGCATGCAGAGCTTGCGCTCCTGCAACACGTAAAGAAAATTTCAATGTAACTCTTTGCTAATATTTTAGCGCTACTCACTGCCTGGCGTACATAATTAAGCAATCACAAAATTCATCTGTATTTCTACGAAATAAATAATAATACTGGAAGAAAGTACAGGTAACTTAAAATTATTAATAACAGTTTCAACATTTGTGCAGCCTTTCAATAATCACCTGATAAACACCGGAAGTGCATAAAGTTTCCGAAAAATTTGAAACCACACACACACTGACACACTGGTGGTATCAAGTACAGTATGTATCAACTTTTTATCCTTAAAAGTTAAAACACAAACAATATCACTTTTTACTTGTGTAGTTCTAAGTTATGTTCCCAGTTTCTCAGCTAATCGATGAAAATTTAATCATCGATCAGGCGCAGTCTCCGTACCTTTCAGTACAGCTTTGACATAAGCGGGATCGAGCAGCAAAGCCGCTTCGCAGTCCGAGATGCACCTCCGATAATTTTTCATTTGATAATGAGTAGCTGCGCGGTTAAAAAGCAGCACAGGTTTCAAATCCGTCTTTGTTATCTTCATCTCCAGCGCTTTCGTGTAACAAGCCAAGGCATCAGGGAATTTCTTTCTCTTGAAGTTGACATTTCCATCTTCTTTATAATTTTCAGCGCACTCATCCGGATCATCCTCGGAGTATTTGAGACTTTGTAGGGCTTCCACGAGCTCCGGCAGTTGGCCTTCGGGAACCTGCGTCATGAATGCAGGAATTTTCTCCATGTCCTCCAGGAAAGTGGACGGAGATAATCCTTGTTTGTATGTATAAGGTTTCGGTTCTTCCTCCATGGCGAAAAGTTACTTCAAGGCTAAAGCTATGTTCAACACAAGAAACGGAAGCTTAATTCAACTCAAACGCGAAAAGGATTAGCTTTTACTTCCCGAAATAACTCGGAATCAAGCATGCAACAAACGCAAAGGCGATCACTAGCATTAAGATCTTATCAAATTCTTATGATTCTTATCCTAGGAATGGTACTCTAGTAGTACTTAAGTCTTAACTTCAAAAAACATGGAGAGTGAAACCATAAAAAGTTAAGCACAACAGTGTGTTACAACAACATTCGTCAAAGAAAAAATGAAAATGGAGCCAAAACTCTGGAAACCGGAAATGCGAAACCGGATAAGCATTACCGCCCAGGACCGAAGTTACTTGTAAGAAGTGACAAACGCTCTGATTCAGCGGTTTATGCTTTCCGTCGAAAAAATTCTTTTTACTTTATACTTTTCTCAGTTTTCTGGCTAATTTTCAAAGTGTGTTTGGTGTAGCGTTTTGTTGATTTTGTTCGGAGTTTGATCATTGATCCTTTTGGAAAACGTGGTGTTAAGGGAACGTTTCTGAGGCAGGTATTTTCTAACATCGGGCTAATGCGCTACGGCTGGCGGAACGAGTGCTTACCTTCAGAGTATTTGCTGATACACGGTTGCTCCCGAGAATTTGATTCGTATTTCTGACTTTAAAGTGAAAGCTTTTGGATTCTAGACTTGATTGTGAAGCGATAAGTATCGGAGCTTGCTTGGAAGTGAAAAGGCATCGCGTCTCTTCCCGTTGAAAATTCGGCGGAGATTTCAAAACCGGAGACAGTCATGGCAGTTACGAAGACAGCAGCGAGTACCGCGGCGGCAGCACAGTTGGAACGCGCTCAAACTCTTTCAAAGACCCAGCCTAAAGAGGCGTTTGACATTTTGAACGCCTTGGGTAAGTCTAAAAAACTATAAAACGTTAAGCTGTTCGTTGAAAAATTTAGCGGAAGTCGAAATGGTGTCGATCTGCAGGTTTCATCGTTTCAGGCTTTGTTTCCAACCTTTTCGATCCTTTTAGTATCGTGTCTGTTTGTTTTACAGTTCGCTTGGACGTTGATATGAAGGATGAGGAAAGCGTCAGAATAAAGGAGCAGAGCATCATCGAACTGGGAAAGTTGCTCTCCAGGGGAAAGCATGTTCTCGGTAATTTTTCGTTTTTGAGAAAAATTTGATTTGAGATTTAAATTTCTGTTCATATAATTCTAATTTTCGTCTAATCCAGTTTTAATTTGCTTAATTACTTTTTTTGTTGCCACCACTTTTTTGCTTGCGGTAATCTCCACGAAATTTCATGGTTGGCTTTGCAGAGCTTCAAGAATTAATCAAATTCAGCCGCCCCTTCCTCAACATGATCAGCAAGGCGAAAGCAGGAACATTGGTGCGTGCGCTGGTGGATTACTATTTGGATATGAATATGGATACTGTCTCCGAGGTGAGGTTTTCCTTCGGTTGATTTTTTGTCCTTTTTTCTGGAATTAATTACCTAAACAGTTATGACTTTCATTTGCGACTTTCAGTTGTAACTTTCAGTTGCACTGTGATGTGCGACCTATCGCCTTGCACATTTTGTTAGTTTTCAATGTTCGGATTTTTTTTAGATTGAATTATGCCGAGAATGCATTGAATGGGCAAAAAACGAGAAACGAACGTATCTGCGCCAGGCACTTGAGGTGAGTGCTTGTGGGATCCATCGTGTTTTCACTTTCTGGTGCACAGCACCTTTTTTTGCCATTCGAAATATTTTTTAATACTGTATAGAACATTTACAGCGGGTATTTTTTTACAGGCTCGATTGCTGAACTTATACTATGACAAAAGCCGATATCAAGAGGCGCTCCAACTGGGTAATTTTTCGTAATACTTAATTTCTGCCTCCAAAAGGACCATAGTTATCTTGATCCAGACTGATTTTAACTTCATTACAGCCAGTGTGTTGCTGAAGGAACTGAAGAAAGTCGATGACAAACAGCTGCTGGTCGATGTTCAGCTGATTGAAAGTAAAACGTTTTTCGCACTGGGAAACTTGCCTAAATCACGGTAAGCCAGTAAATACTACTTGCTATACTGATTTTTTTTATTTGAATGATTTTATAGTGCGGCTTTGGTTACCGCTCGCACTACCGCCAATGCCATTTATTGTCCACCCCGGATGCAAGGCCAGCTCGATCTCCAGTCCGGGATTATCCACGCCGCGGAGGATGTCGACTTTCGCACCGCGTATTCATATTTTTATGAGTCATTCGAAGGCTTCGACGGAATTGACGATAAGCGCGCAATTACGGCGCTGAAATATATGCTGCTTTCGAAGATCATGCTTAATTCGTACGTTTTATTCCCGCAGTAATTCTGGTTAATGTATTACTAGTATCGATTTATTTCTCTGTTTAGACCGGAAGATGTGAATATCATTGTTGACGGAAAGTTGGCCTTAAAGTACGTCGGGAAGGATGTGGAAGCTTTGAAAGCTGTTGCCAGAGCCAGCTCCGATCGGTCTTTATCTGATTTCCAGAAAGTTAGCTTTTAAGTTAAAATATTGCCGTTTGCGATATTGTTAATGTTCATCTGATCGTCGTTAGGCTTTGGAGACGTTCAAAGAACAACTGGTCGATGATCCTATTATTCGTTCCCACCTGGATAACTTATACCAGATGATGCTTGAGCAGAATCTTACGCGCATTATTGAACCGTATTCCCGTGTGCAGGTAAAAAATATTCACAATTGCAATGATATTTTTCATTAATCTTTGTATGATTGTATTGCAGATCGATCATATTTCAAAACTTATCAATTTGGACCAGCAAATTGTGGAGAAGAAGCTCTCGCAGATGATTCTGGATAAAGTCCTGCCGGGTATTTTGGATCAGGGACAAGGTGTGATCGTTTTGTATGAAGATAATCCCGTCGATAAAACATACGAAGCGGCCTTGGGAAGTGTCGGACACTTCAATAAAGCGCTCGATCAGCTCTTCCAGCGAGCAAAGAAATTGTCGTAATCTTTGATCTTCTCCGTTACAACTATGCAATTAAAGTTATGATCACGTTTTGTACCTTTACTAGGCAGCGGTACTCTGTCTGATACACTCTGTCTGATGCTACCATTGTTTACTGTTCTTAATGTGCTTAATTACAATTGATTAAACTGAATCGAAAGCTGAGCGGTTGTTTTTTCTCTTTCTTCCTCGCTTGTCGGTCTGGAAACCACAGTACAGTTAGCTGGAGGACCGAATGGCGATATGTACAAGTAACCCAAACATAAGCCTACGTAAATGCGGTAGAAGTATGCATACTAATAACTAACACAGACAAAGAACATTCAAGTAGACAAAAATTTACTAAGCTTCCGATGGCGTTGTTATTCAATTATTCTTTAAGAAAAGTCCACAGATAAAACGTTTAACACGTCAACTGATCGAAAAACTCTGGGTAATCGATAATTTATTAGTGGTGGCCGTGGGCTTTTGGTTTTGCACTGAAATCAATACCATGGACGTGCATTTCTTCAGGGTTTTGCAGGGCTAATTCAGGCTTGCCATAGTCCAATTCTACAAACGAAAACAGTCAGCTAACGCTGAATAATTTTCTCGCAACCAAAAAAACAACTACAAGTGTACAAGCATTTAATCAATCAATCAATTCAAGACTAGGTGAAATTTATCATACAAGAAAAAGTTTACACAAATACTGAGTTGCTCAAAGAGCGCAATTTCTTAAAAAAGTAATCAGGTCAAATTTGATGAAAATGCCAGAAAAATGAATAAGAACCGAAGAGAGAGAATAGAATAGAGAGTATGAAAGTTGATGAAAATGCCAGAAAAATTAATAAGAACCGAAGAGAGAGAATAGAAGTAGTAAAAAGAGAAGAGAACCGAGAAGTAATAAAAAGTAATGACGGTGAATAAACATTGGAAATCTGGGTAAATATAAACTCTATGCAGCAAATCTGCCAACAAACGTACGGGCAATTAAAGAACAGGATGCTAGAGACAGTCGATATAGGCAACAATCTTAAAAATTAAATCTCCTACACACAGTGAAGTCTTAAGCTTATTACTCAATAACTTTATAACTATCGTAAATTACCTTCGGGAGTGGAAATGCCCAGTTCGTTCAGAGTCGGTCGTATCTCCTGCATAAGATAGGGATAGATTTCTTTACAGTCGGCCGCCTTCTCCTTCAGTGCTTCCATAAACCTCACAGCAAGTGAATGATCATTGACGCGTCGGATGGCGTGCAGGGCCGCGATGATCGTCTCGGGCTCAGGAACTCCGTCGATACGATGCAGCTCCTGCAATCCCCGTCGCACATCCCATCCGTCAATGTCCTTTCTCTTGAAGAACTCCGTCATTCCTATCACACAAGACGGCATTAACCATTGCACATTGGTTGGGATGTCAGATGCATGGGAGCTGTTTGATACGCACGTCTGTCAAACTCCTCATCGGTCTCTTCGTGTCCTGAAGAATATCTCACACCTCCGAGACGTGATGCCAATGCAACGGGGCGCACGCGAACGGCCCGGCCGAGAATGGCCGCAGATGTCCGGAGTGCTGATGCGAACATTTCTTATGACAAATACAATACTTACTGTACACAGAGAAGTAAATAATACATCCAAATGTGGCAATTTCGACTTTAACACCAGATAAATTTTAGCCAAATATTTTCAGGCTTTCAGTCACTTTCTCTCAGTCTGAACTCTGAAATACCGTATGTTGCACCCAGTGCATGCGCCATGCAGCAACTTGTAGGTACTGCAGCACGGGTTCAGTACGTTCATTTCCACTCTGCCGATTCATGCGTGCCACAGATGCGGATCTGCGCCGGAATGGCAACCGCCGCAGACGTTGTTTCGCACCTCACGAATTACAGGAATTACACAGTGCGCCAAAATGAGAATTGCGCATACGCTACGTATGACGTAAAGATTGGCGTAAAGACTGGCGCATCACTGTAATACCGAGGCCACTAACTGACCGCAGATTTTACCGAGCACACTACTCTTTTTTATCATGCATGTGTCTTTCGCTTTGTAGAACTTGGTTTTCCACTTTTCCGTCAATATTTAGCTCCCTTGCATCTGGCATCGCGATCACTTACACGTTTGTCTGGTTGGATTGACGGAGTTTTCAAGAGAAAGGACGTTGACGGATGGGATGTGCGACGGACTTACGGAGACTGCGTGAGCGGCACTGTATCGACGGAGTTCCTGAGCCTGAGACGATCATCGCGACCCTGCACGCCATCCGACGCGTCACTGATCATTCGTTAGCTGCGAGATTTATGGAAGTCCTGATTTTTTAACGGCTGAGTGAAAAAAATGTCTTCCCAGTTTTCGGAGGAAGCATGGGACGCTGAACTTATCATTCGTAAGTTACGATAAGTGATAAGTGTAATAGTGTTATTCAGTTACTGTATCCATTTCTACGCTGAATGGGTCTAGAAATCGTCTCATAATTTCGCGAGAACTCCAGAGACTATAATCGAAAAGCTACCTTTTGTACGGCCTCAATCGTATCTCACAAAGGCTTGTTTTGTAGAGAAAAAAATCTAAAACTTTTGAATGTTTTTGAATAAATCGAAATGAGAAGATTTCCATTCCAGAAAGCAGGAAAGATAAGAATATAATTATATACGCTCCACAATTGGGTATACCGTAATTATCGATTTAGAGCCCCAGGGTTACAAATATTTCGAATGCCTCACGGTTTTCTCCAATTACGGGCATGGGCTAGTATTTCAGGAGGAGGGGGTGGCTTGAGTTTTTCAAACTAACTTTTTTTGGCACGAGCTAATATGGGCTTTATGGCGGTTAATTAAGCCTATGGGCTTCTATTTCGGGGGAGCTTATAATGTTCAAATGACCTTAGAGGTGGGCTCGAGCTTTAATTATGGGGAGCTTCTATTGCAGGCCTCAAATTCAACAATTACGGTATAGAAATTGCATTTTATAATAATATAGCCGTTTTTTACGTATAGACGGGCATGGAATGAATCAGAAAGAGAATGCAGCGCTGAAAACGGCTATGACCACCTTGCCGCGCCCTTCGGCCAGAAGAATGTTTGAGGCGATAAACAATCAAGCGTGGCTTATGGTGCGCTTCTTCCTCAATGGCAGCCAACCAATTTTCAATATTGATCCTCAACGTAAGATTGTTCGCTGCGTTGGAAAATCTGGATTCTACAATAAATTTGAGGAGGCGGCGACGTAAGTATTAGCATAGTTTGTTAGTAGCGTGCGCGACCGGAAGTAACAACTGTTAGTTTGTTATCCCAATTGTAACCAAAAAATTTTTCAATTTTAAAATGTGCAGAGAAGTCCAGGAACGTTTATTAAGAAGAGGTTCTATCGTGTTCGCTATCTGAGCGGCAGAATCGCTTGCGCGCATTGCGCGAAGCGTTAATAGCAAACCCGATGCAACAAATTACCAACAAAATGATTATACTACACATTTCAATGCAAGAAAGAATTATTTTTATGTTTTAAGCGAAAAAAAACCGACGATATTCACTACGATTTTTTTAAACCGCAATAAAAATTTCCTTGATTTCAGAAACATTTAATTGGTTCTAATGCAGAAGCAGGATACACTAGAATACGAATAACTTTGTGCAAAGCTTTTTTCAAAACCGTTTAAAATGTGTATAAAATTTGTATTTTTTTACACCCGATGACACTTATTTTTATGCACGGAGCTGGGAAACAGTAATTTAAAAAAACGTTCCACAAAGTTGTTAGCAAATGTTTTTTTCATGTACTGATCAAAAGTTTGGAATTTTCTTAGGTCTTTTTAATTTGTCAAATTGCTCAGTATTCGGCGAGAACTTTCTTTGTGCTACACTTCAGTGGAATGTTCCACTTTCGCGACTCCAGTGCTGCCACAGTCGTATGAGCAAAGAATGACCACTGGCGGCGGCGGGCGCTCACAGAACAGTTCCCATTCGACTTTTATTCTTGCCGCCTTTATTCTACTGCCAGTTATGCTCATTCATTCGGCTGTGCGCTTTTGGCCACAGGTGGCATCTGAGCAGAAAGATCGCCAGTCAGCCAAAATAATAAGCGCAACAATCACAAAAAAATTATAACATTTTAAGTTGCAACTAGATTTAAACGGACTTTGGTCTGGAGGTAGGCCAGACCATGTTGATTGCAGTTACAAAGTTTCGAAAATCAAAAAACCGACGTGGTAGAACCTCTTCTCAACTTTATTTAATTTTTATGTGATCGCCATTTGAATTCTGCATCGACTCAGCCATAGATTGCCCAGATTTTCTGCTTGTGTACGAGTATATTGTATTATTTGTAAATGAGATTACCGTTGGTTCTTTTGACTTAGAAGATTCAATGATGCATATCATCAGCTGCGGGGTCTGGAGCTGCGTGGCAGCCGGGAAACGACGCGCAGGCATGCTGACACAGAAGCAGAAAGTTCTAACAAATGGATTCTAATGCTTGGTTTAAAAGACGCTGGTAAAACCACCATTCTGTATAAGCTGAGTCGCGGTGAGGTAGTGAATACCGCTCCAACCATCGATGGTAAGTGAAGTCTGTGAAGACGGTCTGATTTGTCCGCTTTGATCATGGCTGTAGTGTGTGTGTGTGTGTGGTTGAGATTTCCATTGCGAAACGGTGGAACACGATAACTCCCGATTCCGGGTGTGGGACGTGAGCGGCCATGTACGAAAAATTGAAGGTATGTCGCCGTTAATTCGACATCAATAGCTTGCTATCAAGCTCTCGACATGGCATTTAAATTTGCGAGAAGACACTGATATCTGGGTTTTTAAACGCGTTAATTTTTGTGAAAGAATGTAAGAAAGTTAGTTTAAAAATTCTGATTGACTTTAGAGTTTGTGGGTAGTCAAAATGACGAAGCGTAGAGATAGTTAACGAAGCGGTTAGTCAAGCTTCCCGCAGGTTTTAAGGGCCAGTGGACACCGCTTTGTTAAGTGTTGTTATTCCAGTCTAACTTTTCGTCTAGTTATTACAGCTATTTTCGTTCGCAAAAAAATTCGATAATTATTTCGAGTTTTTTTAAATTTCTGGCAGCTTTTAAAATAAGTCGGCCCGCCAACTTCGCGCGAAATCAGACCCTTTTTTTTAAATTGACTGTTTTTTGCTCGAGTTCAAGCGTTTACTGTTCATTTTCCAAACAGTATCCGCTGGCGTCCGGCAGATCATAATCGATAAATCTTCCTTGAATGCGTCGCATAAAATTCTTCGAGAACCGGTCCGGGTCATGGTTGGACAACGGAAATTGGCAAATGCTACACTGCCCGCAGGTAACAACAATGGGAATTTACAGGTCGATTGCGCCAAGTGTGGGCAGTAACAAAAAATTCCTAGCTGCTACCATTGAAGCTTTGAAGCGTTTTCGTGTTATTTTTATATGATAGTTCGTGTTCTGTAGCAACGCTTTTAGTGATCCGTCTGCGCTCGAAACAAATTCGCAGGGAACAGCAGCCGAATTTCCACATTTCGTTTTTTTTACCAAAATTCGCACAGCTTAATAAGAATTATTCATGTTCATTCAGTAATCTTTTAATAATTTAGCGCTTGAGAACTACCAAATAATTATGTGGTTTTTTAATGGTCATTTTTTAACTTCCGTTGAGTAACCAACATCTTGCCCAACGTGATCCGCGCTCTAGGCAGCCACATTCTCCGGAAGGTAGCTTGTAACATACGAGTTTATGAGAGATATTTCTTGTTGTGAATTCACCGCAAGTAATGGTCGTGCGCGAGTTTGTTGGTAGCCTTTAACAGATGCCTTTTAAGCCCTGCTTTGCTTGCGGAAAAGATTCTAGCTTCAGTATCACTGGATCCGCAAGAAAATGTTACATTTTAAAAATGAGAACATACAATAAAACAGTTTATGGAAGCATTTTTAAATTGATTTTAATAATTACGCAACTGTCCACACTTGGTGCGATAGACCTGTAAGTTCGAGATTGTATGATATTATGGACTGATTTTATTCACACATTCTTCTATCGATAATTTATTTTTTAATCTAAACTTGGTTGCTGGTGCTGTAGGATGCGAACGTCTTTGCATTTGACTAACGTCACTAACATACAAAGTACAAACTGTACTTTGCAGGTTTGATTTTTGTGGTGGATAGTAATGATCGGGGGCGCGTCGTTGAAGCTCGGGAAGAATTGATGCGGATGTTGGCTGAGGATGAATTACGCGATGCTGTTCTGCTTATTTTTGCCAATAAACAGGTACATTGGTATTTCAAGCTGATAGCGGCGATCATATATAACGATTTTAAGATATGTAAACGTTTTTGAAAGACTAATGGTCATTAATCGGTAATTTCCTGGCTTTATTCGAGGTAGCTGAAGATTTAAGTCAATGTTTTTGTAATTTAATTGTCTGGTTTGGAGGTTTCTCACAATTGTCAACCTGAAGTTGCAGCTGTTGTACGTAATTGGGCCGACTGGCCGAGTCTTACTGTTTGTATGTATGTTGGTTTTTTAAATACTGTGTTTTTTTATGGAAATACCTTTTCTGAATTTCCTTGCAGAATTTTCGTTATTTTATTTTACTTTATTTGTTAAGTACGACGGTTGGATGGTATCGATGATGCTTAGTCCTCAAGGTTCTGTTTAGGAATATTGTAAAATATTCTGCTGAAGACCTCTGCAGTAGCCCCTGAGATACCAGTAAACTTTTCTCCTGACTCACTGAACGAAATATGCAGATTGCTGTAAACGGTTGAACGACTCATTGTCAGTTTTGTATTTCGTTAAACTGGTAGTATTTTTTTACAGTAGGTGTGTTTTGACACTGGTTATACGATGTATTGTGTTTAGGATTTGCCGAATGCAATGAACGCAGCAGAAATTACCGAGATACTTGGACTGAATTCCCTCCCAGACCGAATTTTTTTCATTCAAGCCACATGGGCCACGAACGGTGAGATGGGCGGTGACGGCTTGTATGAGGGATTGGACTGGCTTTCTAATCAGCTGTGAACCGAAAATGAGCGGAAATATGACTCCAGACAGCGCGGATCAGCCCATTGTACTGTTGTGTGTGGCCAAAGATGTTTTTTTGTTATTCGTCTCCAGTCTTCATGCCAATTGTGTTTGAGACCCATCCATTGTGGCAACCGTGGAGAAGAGAACACAGTTCGAGAACAATCATCGTAATCACAATCTTTTTTTTGCGATTTCCTCTTTCTCTGCTAATATCTATTTATATGATGACGAAAGTCGCTCTTAACGTGAAAATAATGCAGTAAAAAAGCCATCCTGTGTGTTTTTTTGTTTTCCGTTGGATAACACTTGTATAACACTTGACTGTTTGTATACTTGCTTGCATTTCGCAACACCACCCGCTTTTTAGCTAATCTTTTTTATGGACGAGCCCTTGATTCTTTTAACACTTTTTGGGATGATTATTGAAAAACGATCTGGCCGGTTAACGACTTTGTGAACCGCACGTCTTGTTGAATTAATAGGGAAGGGTGTTAAATTACTTGCTGGGTTATTCGGATTTGTTATTGCAGTATAGTACTGTAATTGATTATATCTATATTATTAATATTATTATGTTCATAACTTATAGCACCTACGTTCACTAATTTTGTTCATCGGTGTGAGATTACTGTACTTCATATTTATTGCACTGGCACTCAAACCTCCACATGCACATACTCTTTAAAATTTTTGAATCGTACGAGCCTTATTTATCGTCTAAAAATTTTTGGTAAACGCAAATACTATGGTCATTTTTAATAACTATGGTGGTTATTGCTTATTAATTACTGGATAATGTATTTTTGTTTTTGTAAGTATTGTTCAAGTATCTCCGTAGTGTAGTTATTGTAAGTATCTCCGTAGGCGGCTGAGGCTGTGTATTCAGTACAAATTTTTTCATTTTTATAGGAAACTTGTGACTGTATCGTTACACTATCGTATCACCAATCTGAATAAAGGCATTCCACTCCAAAAAAAAACTACTGCTCAATGGTTATTGTAGTTATTGAGAAAATACTTTGCTACAAAGCAGTACGTATTGTTAATAATTAATGCACTGTTCGTACAGACGGTACAGTCTGCACTGATCGTGAATTATGGTAACAAGAGTAGAAGTGGGCTACATATAGTAGTACACAGTGTGTACTACACACTACACACTAAAAATAAATCGTGCTGTTTAATAAATTACTAAAAAATCTACTTCGGTAAAATGCTGAATTGAAATTTTGCTTTGCTATCCGGTAAGGTGAATGAAGATAAGACTAGTATGTACAAATTACAATAATGCCGTACAGAGCCAGTCTGTCCCAGAGGCCAGGTACAGTACAGTCAGCATTGTACAGCAATAGCATGTCTCCGTTCCGGGTTAGTAGAGAAACGAGCAAAGTACGCGATCATCCCCTGCCTGCCATAGCCACTTCTTTATGAGTGAGGCTCAGTGAGCTCATATACTCAGTGCGGTCACCCGCCGTTACCGTCATCAGCTGCAGCTTTTTGTTTGGTTTGTCTTTCACCGTTTCACAGGCACTAATCTATTCTTCCCATCGCAGCTGGTATGCCGCGATTCGATTGCACAGTTTGCATTTCGTACTCCACACGATCTCTAGTCTTCCTTGATCTGTCAGCATATGGTATTGGTTTCCATCGTTTCAGCTGAATTGTCATGGTAGAGTAATAGAATCCCACCAACTCCCGCACTATGTAAACGATCAGCGTGCCATCGAAGGGAGCGGATGCTTTTGCCAGAGGCTCGGTTGTGTGGTGGCTCCGCTCTAACACAAAATTCTACACGCAACAATCAACAATGTCTTCCAAGAAACCAAAAACGACAGTGCCACCTGGCCCGACCACTACCAATGGTGTGGGAATAAAACGGCTGAATCGTATGGCACCAATGCAGAAAGACCCGTTAACTGGTTGGAAGTGTCCGTTGTGCACGAATCAGCGGGAACTGGCACCCGAAACATGGCTCAAGCACATGGAAGCGCACGCTGCAGCCATGGTAAGAGAACTGCTTGTTTCATTTTCTGATGTTTGCTGTGGATACCGTTCGCGATGCACCCACTGCGCCTTATCAGTATTCTGGATACGTTACTCGTGCAGTTTTTTGTGTGGAATTGATCGTGACTAGCATGAACGTTTATCGTTGCAGAAGCATGCTCCATCCACGGCATCGGACGGGGCGAAATACATCAGCTCGTTGGCCTATGCCCGGATATTCTCCTTCTATTCGCGTGCACTGCGGGTGCGCCATACGCATCCACAATTCCAGGAACTGGCCAAAAAGATTGCTACGGTCGCGGCCAAGTTTCGCCCCTTTGTTAACTGGAATGCAGTGCTTTCTAGGACGTCACGGCCCACCAGTGTGTCAGGTATGAGGCCTATTTCAACAGGACGAGTATTGGGTAGAATAATGTCTGTAACATTATTGATTTTGGTTTTTATTTTCGCTGCAGTATTTACTTTTTAATTTGATGCACGGTACTGTTCTACTATGCGTTTACGCACTAGACTTACGTCATGCCATCACGACTACCAACTACGTGATAAATTTTTCACAATCAGGCTGCTTCGTATACTCTGCAGTTCTTTTCATCTCGTAGCCGTAAACTTAATCGCCTAATTAAAAATGATTAATTAATAATCTTCTAAACAGAATTATTTGATTGATGATTATTAAGAATTTTTATTTGTCAGTTATTTGTATGAGGCGCTGGCTGTCCCCAATGGAATTTATATAATACGGTATCTCCGCTTTTCGTTTGAATAAATTATATAATTTTTATAAGTACATCGTGATGGAAATTCATATTTCATAACGCTCATTTTCAAACAGTTTCCGCTGGCGGCCGGACGATATCCATTGGCCCGAAAGTGTCTTCTCAAACCCAAGGATCTCATGCGAAAGACCACTCCCCGAATGTATCTGGATTGTCAGTAGACTCGTTTGCGGACGACGTTTGGAATGGTAAAAACAAAGTTGTGGATACCGCTGCTGTAGAGAATCCATCGTCTGCTGCTGGCGACACGCATAAACGACTAGTGGAAAAGGAGGAGGTGTGGGCAGCCTTGGCCATTAACTCCCCGGTTCCCCGTTCGCCTCCAGAATTCCCGGGGGTCATGCCTGTGAATGCTGTTAATCATGCCATAACACTCAGCACCGTGGAATTCCATACTACTCAAGACATACTTATGGATATGAATATCAGCAAGTCAGCCACCGCTACCACTCATCAAGGACCGGTGATGCCGCAGCTTGTGTTGTCGCATATTAACCTGCCTCCAGGTAAAAACAATGGTAATTTAAGTTCGAGATTTTATGAAATAATTTTGTTTATGTATTCTTCCATCGCTGATCTGTTTTGTAATTGTAACCATAGCTGTTTTCTGTGACTGCGCGTATATACAGTAGACTGTTCACTGTTCACCGATTCTGAAATTTGCCGTTTATTGTTTACAGTACTGTTTATTGTATTTTACGACAGCATTATGTCTTTCATTTTGTTAGTTATAATTATGACTGCACTTCGTAATACATTGGCGTGGTATCCGTGATGTTTAGTCCTCAAGGTTCTGTTTAGGAATATCGCGAGATATTTCGCTGAAGAGCTTTATTTGTCCTGAGATACCATTTATGATTGATTGATGAACTTTCTATAAAGTCGTTTATGGGTGTTGATTTGTTGTTACTAAAGAGTAGTCTGAAAATTAGCCGTCTGCAATATGAATATATGTATTAAGACGTTGTTATTTTAATTTGAATATATGTATTAAGACGGTGCCTGAATATATGTATTAAGACGTTGTTATTTTAATTTTAGATTCGGATACGGAAACTGTGCAGAGTGAGGAAAGGACTGAAAAGGTGATTGACAGCAGCGCTGATCCAGTAGTTCCTGTTGCTCAAGAGATTATGCGCGATGATCTGATACCGAAGGATGCTTATATGGAGTGTGATGGAGTTGCTGTGAGTCATGTTGGATCTCGTGGTGATAAGGATGTTGCTCAGCATGTTATGGACAATGCTCAACCTACTGCATTTACTGGAAAACAGTCATTCTCGCGGTATGGCCAACGACGCCGCGGTTCGCGTGTTTCCGGGCGTGGAATCTCAACTGGCAGTAAGTTATCTTGAAGTTAATCTAAATGCCAGTGGGTTGGTCTGGTTTGGAATATAGAGATTACTAAATTGTTGACCGTTAAGATATAAAGTAAGAATGGAATAACTCGTACGGTAATTTCTGTCGGGTTCTGATATTAATGTTTGCTTTGTGTATCAGTAAATTCTTATGCAGCCCTAGCATGTCGCGAACATGCATTTGAGCCTAGGTTTGCAGCCGTTACACAGTCCAAATGTCAAATAACAGTTTTGGGAATGTAAATTGAAATAGTTTTGTTGAATTACTATAATTCTGTAGTTTTTTATTAGCGCAGATTCCCTGTTTATACGCACGAATTCGTTTTTGCCTAATAAAAATACACTTTTGCTCTAGTTCGCGGAGTGAAAACGCTGTATACATCGGGACTGCGCTATCGACGACGGTTCGGACTCAAACAACACAGTGTGCGCCGGAAAGGAAAACGGCGATTGCCGAAGACTGTGACTGCTCCCAAGTGTTCTACGGATGATTTATCGGGTGAGCTATTTTTTTCATTGAACACAATCGAATCTTGCTTGTCACGTTCTGTTTGTAAAGTTTTAGCCCAGGCCGCGATGTCGGACATGTCGTTTTCGGTGCTGGTTCTTCACGCTCCTGCACCATCGAAGATGATGCTCTTGAATCCGGATAGTGAAGGAGAAGAGCTGGAGTTTGTCCTTCGTGAAGGCGATGAACGCCAGGAGATCGCCTGCTTGGATAAAGAAATGCTGGAGTCCTACTTTAACCAGCGTGATGACAACACTTTCGAGTGCTTCCACTGCACGTTCACCACCCTGGACAAGTCGGACATATACTGTCACGCGGCCGACCACATGCTGAATGCTGTGCGGGATTCAGTCAGTCTACCGGAAATACAACGTAATGTGCAGGCACCTTTTGGCGACTTTCCATCGGGTCGTGAAGTGGAATACGACAACGGGTACGATTCGGAACCGGATTCGGACGCTTCCGATGCTGCCGATTCTCCCGCTATATCAACTCCGGAATCAGTGGCGACGGCGCGTGTGACGCGGAAACGCGGTCGTCCACGAAAAAATGCGTATGACGGTTATGTAATATTGTTCTGGTGACAATTTGACTGGTGATTTGGTTGGGTGTAGGTTGGCGAGTTCGGATGCGTCGTTGACGTCTCTGGATGCGGGACCATCGGGATTGCAGTCTGAGTCACGCGATACATCGCGCTCAACCCGTTCCAGCTCCCTGTGTAGCGAGGATAATTCGTCGATGGAGATGGATGATGAGAGAGTGCATACGCGGAGCAAACAGCCAAAATGTCCAGCGGGCGTTAAAGGAAACGGGAAGAAGACAAATGCGACGCCGTATCACAACAGGTATGTACCTTTGATGGGTTCTGTCGGGTTTCTTGTGAAATTAACATGAGGGTTGGCTTTGGGGCACTTTCATGGGGCTTATGTGCGCTCGTGGTGGAAATGCAGTGGGCTTTGGGTGTTCTTACGATTATCGCATGACGCATGTTCATAGGTTCATAGCGTTTGCACTTACAAATTACAGTTATTAAATTCAACACTGAAATGTAAACGACCAGGATTTCTCATTGCGTTGTTCCTTTCGTTATTCGTTGAATTTACCAGTAAGTAATTTCGTAAACTGTAAGCCATTGACTGCTGCCGTTGTTTGAATTTAGATTTTTGTAAGTTTTTGCTTTTGACGAATGGGGATGGGACGGACATTTTGTAGACATTCGTTGAGTTTTAATTTCCCTGCTGGTGGCTTGATACTAACAACGCATGCGGCATTTAACTAACCATGAGGCGTGAGCACTACATTTATACGGTTTGGGACACAGAACGATATAGCATTCATGAATAGTTTCATCTTTTCTTTTGCATGATGATATACTCACATTGTTCCGGTCATGCATTGAAATTGCTAACAATAAGTAACTTACAAGACTGCAAACGTAACATGCTATATTCTCAGGTCGCATGCCCTTTTATACCGCGTTAATGGATTCAGTCTGTACCAGTCGGAGTACTATAAGTCCCGTGATGGTGCCGCGCTGAGAGGCCTTGACAACCCCAACAGCGCCGTGGGCCTCATATGGAAACGGGAACCGGCCAGTGTCCGCGAGAAATGGTCGCGCCGGGCACAGCGACAGACGCGCCTGGTTAATGAAATCATGCACAAAAAGGGCTTCCGCCAGCCTTTCAAGGATTTGGCGGAGGATGAGAAAAGGATGCTAGTTAGCGCGGCACTGCGTAAAATGAGAAAGGGCTCTTGGGCGACAGATGACAAACGGGGGTGAGTTGTCAGGTTTCTGGGCGGTATACAATATTTCACAAATGCTCCTCAGTACGGTGCTGGCGGTATTTCTTGGTACACTATTTTTTGGTACCTTTTGTTCTCCCTTTTTTATTCACTCAGATAATTTTGATACCGGTGGGTGGGTTTTCTTAAAAATTGTTTTTGTTTCTCTTTTTTTACTTTGTTTGTACGATTTCTTTCATGCTTTTTAAGATTTATTCTTCTGAAGTTTCTGAGCCTCCTGAACGTTGTGATTTCTCTAAACTGCACGGCATTTTTGTCATTTGCAGACAGTGCAACTGCATGATGCAAGCTGTAAAATTTGTATGAACTCCTGGCAGTGAGTTTATGGTTTTGCACTGGGTGGTGATTTTGCTTGTATTATTGCTAGTCTAAGGTTTGCGTTGAGGCTGTCGACATTGTTTTCCGCTTTTCCGTACTTATTTTCCTGACGTAGTTTTTTCGGTTTGAAAAATAGTTCATTTACTAACGACTGCATAACATTCTCGTTTAAAATAAAGAGAAAGAGCCTGTCTGGCGTCGAGTAGGTTTAGGACTCCTGGAGGCGGGAAAGTAGGACATGGGAAAAAGAAGTATACGTGCAATGGATACGGAATGTTCGTACAGCACATTTCCCGTGGGATCTACGGATTCGGAATGCACATTAAACATGCTTCCGCACAATGGAATAGTATGTCAGCTGTTGCAAAGCAGAAATGGGTAAAAAAAGCTGAGCAGCGGGAGGCTATGGTGCAGGAGATTATGGCCGAGCGCGGCATCCAGCAGCTGTGGAGAGAGGTTGATAAGAGCGAACAAAGGGATATCTTAAAGCAGGCTTCCCTAATGTTGGACCAGGAACGCTTGACTGATTAAGTTAGTAAAACAAATGTTAAAATTACAAATGTTTTAAGGTGAAATTATTTTCTTAATTAGTTTTGTGAAAGGTTGTCATTTTCGAACATATGGATTTTGGTTATGCTGATGAACTTGTTGATTGCTTTCAACTTTTACAGCCGTAGATGTGATATTCTCCAAACAGTTTTATTTTCTGAATGATTTTTTTATTGCTGGTAATGTGAATTACAGTTCTTTTACTTTTAATATAGGAAATTTTTGTTGGTTGGATTTACGGTGATAGCGAGATTTTAATGAGTCCTATTTTTGGTTCTTGCAGGTGTGATGGAACCTTAATCACTTTCAGTACTTCTATTGTATTTGCTGTTTGAACAGGTTTTAAACATCGAAAATTTTATCGTGACTCAATTTTGGAAATGTTTTAAAGAACGTAATTTTGAATTCTCATGCGTGTAAACTGTAACGCGAACTGTTGCAATGTTTATTCAGATCGTACAGTTTTTAATTGAATGTTATATTCCTGGGTGTGCACATGATTTTGAAGGGTTCCTTGATTTTCTAGTTAATGCCGTGAAATGAAATGCCCGATGTGATTTTGTAAATAAAACTGCATTCATGGAAGTCTGGATTCGCTGCCTACCGAATGTCATCATATCAAACAAAATACACACAATTGCCAGTCAAAGGATGTGTACAGTAGTGTACTCATCTGGTCTTCGATATGTATTGGACATTTTCGCTAGGGTAGATTGCTTCGCCAACCGGACACTCAGCTGTACATTCGTTCAGAAGTGAGAGAGCCGTCTCATTCATGGGATGAGACAGTTTCCGACTCAGGTCAGCCGCGCAATGGAATATAGCAAAATGTGAAATGGCTGAATCTTGAATGTTATAGCCCACTCACGTACAGCTGAGTGTCCGGTTCACGGAGCCGTAATGAAAGTATCGAAGAATGTCAAAGTATATTTAACCTTAATCCACAGACGTAATGCTAACTCGTTTAAACATTCCGTCCAACAGAAGTAACCCTTCCGTGTGTCTGTGTGTGAACGTGCTTGTGATTGTGGTTGCATTGCGTGCTTACCTGTTTGCAGATCGCAGTTGTCTACGCCAACCAACCGAGCGGGATCATCTGGTTCACGAGGAATGCCGGTGTCACGGGAAACATCCGTAGCGCGCTCCACCCGTTCGCAGGCGGTGCGAAAACATGAAGCGGTCCCGATCAAGGTGGAGCCGGAAGACGAAGTGGAAACTGGCCGGAAGCCACTGAAACGAAAAGCGGATGGCAGAGGAATCGGGAAGAAGAAACTGGCCACACCCAGCGAAAAGTAAGCAACTAAAATACTGCATGGTATTCTGGGTGGTGGACTGCTCTAGGTGGGATTCTATTTTTCGCTCGCGGAATGTGCTTGTCGATGCTTCTGTGTACTCGCCGGCTTGGCAACTTTGCATATGGATGTGTTTGGCGATGTCCTGCATTCGCGTGTCGTAATCCCGAATCGAGTGGTGAATTTTTAAGATTCGATTTTAAGTTAGCTAATCTTAAATTTTTTTTCAGTGCATTATTTACATTTTTTTTAAATTTTGGGCGGACAGTTAAGCCTAGCGCAGTAGCACCATAGTAGTTTCGAATATTTCTTTGTTACTAAACACAGTAAATGCAGTGTTTTCGAAGCTTCTTTAGTTTACAATTGCATATATATGTGTTATGTGTTAATTGTATTTATATGTGAATTTTTGTATCCCAAGATTTTTGCGCTCTCGAGGCTGTTTGCATGTGAAGGATGTAAATTAATTGCCAGATTCTAGAGTGATCATAGCAGTTCTAATTGCAAATTCTGAGGTACATAGTATCCATAACTCCAACAGTATACGTGTGACCGTTCATTTTAAGTTTTGTAAAAGTTTCTGTCTCATGCGAATGGTAAAAGGGTGTTAGGTGGCGGAGCTAGACTCACAATACAAATACCGCAGCTTGTGTATTGTGCAGCGCTACTTGCTTTCATTGACTGTATGAACGCTTTTTCCATGAGATTCTTTATTTTCTTGCAACCAGGGAATACGATAAAATGAGTCCATTCATTAACAAATGGAAATACAAATAAATTACACTACAAATGTGTCGCGCATGCGATTATTACGCCGCCATGAGCGTAATACATCATTGTGCGTATTCTCAGGTTAGATGGCCAGTTGTACTACATTAGCGGATACAATTTATACCAATCGGAGTACTACAAACATTTCCGCGATACTGATGTCCTGAACGACTACGACAACCCCGGGAAAGCGTTGGGCGACCGTTGGAAGCAAGAAGAGGAGCGTTTCCGGGAGAAATGGCGACAACGTGCGCAACGCCAGACGGCCTACGTTAATGAGATCATGCAGGAGCAGGGTTATCGGGCCTTTAAGGATCTGACGGAAGTTGAGAGAGACATGTTGATTAGTGCGGCGCGCAGTAGGATGAGGGAGGGCACACGGGCTGGGGATGAGAAAGCGGGGTGAGTGTGATTTTGGGGAACTGTGTGTACAGCGCTGCATCTGCTGCATGGGTTGGCAGTTGTTTTGAATGCGGATGGGTTTGCTCGTTTTTGAGTTGTACGCACGTTTGCCCGCTAATGGTTTTCGGGTTTAAATATTTCTGCTTTTTCATACAAAATTTGCTCAGTGATATCCTCTATGAGTATGATATGTTTTTATGCAGTTGCTTTTGAATACAGATTGGTTTCCCATTTTTATGTGTTGTTGTATTATGCATGTATACGTTTACCGCTAAAAAGTTTCTTGGTTTAAAAATTTGTGTTTTTGACTTGGAAATTTTGCCTTCATATTTTTGGGCATACTTTTTTTCATACTTTTTTATGGATTGTTATCTGTGATTGATTTGCAAGATGGCTTGCTGCTATCTGGACATTGTTGGTGTGTTGTTGATAGTTCTGTTGATTTTGTTTTTAGTTGATTTCCGCACTAAATACTTATGAGGAAAATCGAAATTTCCTAAGTACAAAGTAATTTTTGTGCGAAGTAAAACGAGTGATTCTCCGTTGCGTGTATCATTCCCGGTATAAAAACAGTTGCTCCAAAACGTCTAGCACCCGTGGTATATGCAGCGGTGGATTCCCTTTCGATCCGGCGTGACTTCGTTTCAGTGTGAATTTCAGCACGTTTCTGCAACAAAGTGTAGTTAGACATTTAAGCGCGAGCATAAGCCTCTCGGGCGTTGAGTACAGGCACCGTGGGAAACGGGAGCATCGACGGCCAGGACGGGATTATCATTGTGTTGGATACAGTGCGTATGTACGGTATGTGGCCAGGACGGGGGAAAAGTTTAAAGGGAAGGGCGGGATGCTGAAGGCAATCCGTACGCACTGGAATGCCATGCCGGACGCCGAGAAGCAGTCGTGGGAAGCCAAAGCGAAACAACGGGAGGCCCTGGTCGCTTCGATTATGGCACAGCGCGATATTCGGAAGAAATGGACACAAGTATCTTGCGAGGAGCGGAAGGATATTATCCAACGGGCTGACCAGATGACGGAGCAAATCCAGGCACACTTTGGAGGTATGATACAAATCCGGTGAAATTTGTTCGTGTTTCAGAATTCGCTACAGTTTATTGTTTTCATTCACTGCTGTATAATGTTTTTGCTGTAGTAGACGACATCCATTTATCCGCATTTGAAATTATAAGTAAAAGTTAGTTGTGTAGAAATACGCACAAATAAGATACGTTGATTATTTATTTGTGCATATCAAACTCCATGTAAGTATGTACTTGTTGAAGTTGACCTTGATTGCGTCACTCTCGAAGTCCGATTATCCTGTTTTGTTATTGTCGATTTCCTCAACAAATACCATTCTCCCTAATTCATATCTTTAACAGCGAATATCAGGGCTAGAATAATAATTGAAAAGCAAAGTTAAGGTGCAGTAAATACTTTTATTAAAAATTTCCATATGGAGCATTTTGTGTTTGATGATGGATTCAGTATGCAAATTCGGAAATCTTGTACATACAGACAAACCAATCTTGCATGGGTGAATGCAGCGACTTTGCATGTGTTTGCAACTTTCCTTTTGTGACTGAAATTCTTTTTTATCGTTCTTTCAGGTGACGCCGTTGCCGACTCGCCGGTGATGGATGATTTGCAGTCTACATTGTGCCTTTAACAATCCTCTTTTGTTTTTACTATTGTGTACTGTACTGTTCCAGATTGCCACTTTACATATAATATGATCTAAATTTTTTGGTTAATTGGATCATCCAATTTGGATGTACATATGACTTTCGTCCTTTTTTAACCCTCGGTGAGATAGAAAGGTTTTACTTTGCTTTGCTTTCGGTGCCAGATATCGAGCAGTACACGTAGTAAAGACGGTTTAGGAAATGCTGCGCCATGTAAAACAGCGTTAAAAAACATGATCACCCATAAAATATGGAAAACAGTTACTTATTACTAATGTTAGAGACGTGTATGATATTTTCGCCAGCTTTTTCCTTTCATACTTTAATTTGGAATGGTTCTGTCGGCATGGGCATGATTCTGATATGTGTTTCCCTGCATGCATGTATGATTGACCGGTGGCGGGGGCGAAAAACCCTGGCTTATATAGCCGTGTAGATGTGTGAATTGTGGACTGTCTTGAAAGGGATGCCGGCATTGATGACTTCCATCTGACCGGGTGCCAGTTGTTCGTCCAGCAGTTTATGGCGGTGGACTGTAAGGATAAACCGCGGGATCCGCTGACGGTGTGGCGCAGCTTCACGCCCCTCCAGCAGCGGCAGTGGAATGCCGAAGCCATGGAGAAGGTGTGCGCGGTGCACAAGATTATGCGCGATCAACGCTGCAATGTGCCCTTCCGCCAGCTGCGGCGCACCCTCAAGCGGCATATTCTCATGACGGCGGATCTGTGCTTGGCGGACGGGACCCATTTCAACAAGCTAAAGCTGACCAATGCTGACGTTTTTGAAGGTAAATATTTAGCCGTACTAATAAATATGTGATTTTGAGTAATAAATTAGTAATGTAATTCAGTAATTTAATTTAAATATTTGTTTTAATTCACATAAATTAATAATTTAGTCAAATAATTTTGTTTTGAATGCTTAATTGAATTCTGCGGTTTTTTTCATCCACAGAGTCGTCGAATTCCACGGAAGAGTCGACGGATGAGGATACGCCGGTGATTGCGAATCCGTTACTGATGCGAGCCGGCTGAGTCGTTCCGTTAAACGGTTTTAACGTATTTTGTGTTCCTTTCTCTCTCATATCGCACCGTTAAAAAGTTCATTTTTCTTTGCGTGTCTTGTTAATTCTCTTGTCGCTCAATTTTGCAAGCCTGCGATTTTTTTACTTAATTTTTTGTGCTAATTACTAATAATTAAAGCTGCGAAATTGTTTTGCGCTGATTTGTTATTTTTTCTAATCAGTGAATTTTGTGAGATAGTTGTGACGAATCTGTGGAAAATGTTATTAAAAAAATAACCGCGATCAGTTTCGGGAAATTATGCACATAGTCGATGCGCGAACAATCGCCATTTTAGTATTTGGTGCACTGGAATTAGTAGTCTTTCTACAGACAAACACCTTGAAAGGTCAGTCAACGATATTGGCCCACATGTTATATCGTAAAAGTTGAATTATGCATAAGTACTCAACTGTACTTGTATCGATGTTATTCGGATTTGCACCGGTGCTGATAGTTATACTTCGCGATTCCAGAGTGCAGGTGACTAGTCCGAGGTGGCGAGAAGTGTCAGGATCGCTGCAGCCGGATATCTGTATGGAGGCTATGGATCTGGATTCGGATGCGGAAATGGAGGGGCACGAGCGACCGGATTGGGAGCCGGTGCAGAAAAAAGCCAAGAAACCCCGTCGGCGGTGTACGAAACAGTAAGCATCCATTAGTATCTGTGTATCGCATCCATTAGTATCTGTGGTATCGCATAGCAGGATCGGATGATATGTTTTATGTTGCTGGTTGTATTACAATGGAAAATATACGGTCAGCTACGTTTTTAAAAAAACACACTGCGCGATTTAATTCGATTTTTGTATTAATTGTGGCTAGGTGGTAAGTAATCAAAAAATGACTGTAATAAAAATTCAAAACTATTAAGTACGTACTACGTCGTAACACCCGTAACAATTACGGATTTTAATAATTGCCGGCTTTTTAGAGCCACTTAGCCACTTTTTTAGGTCACTTTTTGAGCCACTTTTTTACGTCCATTAGCTACAGTCTGACAGATAGTCTTAAGCCATACCGAAAATTTATTTCGTAATGGTTTTGTTTGGACCGTGTGATTAAATGTTAACTGGTGTTGTTTCTAATGAATTAATACTTATCCGGTGATCGTGAATTTCTCCTGGACCACAATCAACTTGCGAATTGCAGGAAAGAGGAAAGTAAACCTGTGAGCCGGAAAGGACAGGGTAACTACAGTTGCAACGGATACGGCCTGTTTGTCGGATATATTTACGAGGTCATGGTTAAGAAGCCAGGCCTACAAAACACTCAAAGCGCCGCCGACCTGTGGAAAGCCATGTCGGAGACGGAGCAGCAGCGCTGGAAGCAGAAGGCGGACCACCGGAAAGCGGCAGTGAAGGAGCTGATGAAACAGCGCGGTACTAAGCGCTTCTGGTCGGCGCTGAGCAAGGAGGAACAACGGGACATCTTGGCTGCGGTCTACAAGATGGAGAGTGAGGCGACATTCGACCGGAACGAGTCGGAAGGTAGATTGTCTGATGAAAATATTAACTTATACTGTACATTCATTATACATACAGCATACTTGTACTCTGCATTACATCTACCTAAACACCGGCAAAAACAGACATTGTATTGTACATTAAATTGTATCAAATAATAAATAATGCGTTGCATTCAGTAATGTGTTGTATTGTATTAATTAATAAATGAGAGGAAATTGGAAAGGATACTTTTTTCAGTGTCGCTTAAATGAAGTTCAAGTTTCTTCTGGAAGTGAGTCGAGTATTTATTTGCGTAATTTATCTGAGCAATGTCTGTAAAATTACGTGGTAATTATTTGGTTTAGTATCAAACAGGGCATAACCCTGAAATTGTGGATTTGCCTTTAACCGCAGTTATTAATGTTTTCTCTAAACAACATCTGGTATTTCTGATAATCACACGTAATACCGTTTTTTTGCAGAATCCCCGTGTGCGATTGATTGTTGAATCTGCGGATTACTTACTCGTTGTATTTATTTGATGACTAATTTTGTGATGTTCAATAAGCTGCGGTATTCCTATAGATTAACCAGATTTGCGGATAACTGTTTCACCATGTTTTTAATGTTGCAGGATTTATTTTTTTATTGTTTTCTGACCCTTGCGATACTGGATGCATCTAGTGCATGGGATAATGTGATGTTAAGATGCACTTTGCTTTATTAGAATTTTTTTATAACCTTATCGGTATTTCGTGTCCATCTTAATGTCGGTTAATTAATCGTTTTCAGCATTTTTGTATTAGTGCCTTTGCCCACCACTAATGGTATGATCTGTTTTTATCTGTGTTTGTTGGTGTAGATCGGAGTAGATCCCCTAGAGGCTTGTTTTGTTGTTGACGACTGTGGTAAAAGTACTTAACTACTTAGTGAATAATGTGAATAAAACCCTACTAACTGATTCCCGATTGGAAATGCGACTGCGTTAATTTTAGTGAATACAGTCACAATTATTCAGCACGAATGCACTCGTATATGTGCTCGTGTATTACTTATTTATATCTTTTATTTGCGTGCACCGGAAAAATATGGGATATTTAATTATCCATGTTAGGTGATCGTGTTAAGAAAACCGCTGCAACGGAAACGCGTTCGTTCTTTGCATGGTGTAAAGTGTACATAGATTAGCCAAATCATACGAGTATCAACCACGCCCGGCGGGCTAAAGGTCACCGGAAAGATTTGACGACGACGATATGATTCCAGGATGTGTCGTGTTTACAGCATGTACTATATTTAGTGAAAGAACTGCGAATTGAAGAAAGGCTAAAATTACAGACGAGCACCCGAATAATTCATGCATACAGAAAGGATCAATTACTGAGGGTGTGCATTCGAAGCGGCTGCCGGCATTCTTCGAAAACATTCAAATTGTGCGTCATTAACCTGATCAACACAATAACAAGCTGCGCCCACGTTTCCTGCAGATGACCCGATTTTCCGGTTTCTTGAGTGTTTATGCCCGCCAGGATGTGATAGATTTTCAATACTTCAACATCAAAAGAAACGTGCACATGCATATGCACTAAAAAATCTTTTTCAACATCCCGTTAGAAGATGCAGGATACTCATATTTGGTCAGCCTGTGAACTGCAGAACAGTTGTGTATATTGCAGTTTATTACACTAAATATGTATTAATAGTACATTGTTCGTTATGCGTATATTATGCATTTATTTATTATAATAAATATGTACTTCTACGTGGTAACTTAAAATGTATTAATTTTTTTCTGTTATATAACGACATAATTATGATATGTATGGCACACCGCCGCACACCCAATAAAGCAACAATTTAATTGAATTGGCAAGCGTAGTTTCACACATGCAGATCCATCAGTATTGGAGGATCTGAACGAGCATACTGCAAATAAATCGATACAGCGACCTTTCAAAATACTGACAGGAAAAACCAGCTGAACATATATTCTCAAACCATCCGTGCACTGTGGACCACCAAATTATCCGCATTCAGATTCTGCACCGCTGTTACCGCCCCCTCGAACGTATTAATCCGACTGCCGGGCATCCGCTCATGGGCACTGCGCCGCATCGTTCCCAGCACCGCCGTGGTGATGGTCATCACGCCGGTCGACAGAAAGATAAGCAATGCCACCCGGTGCAAATTCCAATTGCCCATCCACATACTGAAGATCAACGTAGAGGTCATGTACGTAATGGAGAAGAGGAACAGGCAAAGGAGTGCACCGAATCCGAGTGGGTCCACTTTCTCGCCGGGTAATGGATTGCGGGCTTTCCGCAGGGCCCCACAGGCACATAACTGCAGTACCGGCAGGGCGATGCCGTCCAGAAGAATCCAACCGGGATCCATGAAATCAGTGACATCCACTAGAGAGGTCAAGCAGCCGTGACCCCAGCAGTTGGACGCCAGACTCTGGAATAATCAGCCGATATTATTGTAATTAAGTGACATGGCGCTAAATGTATATTTTTGCTCTTCGTTCTCCATGCACCATTTGCCTGCTGCACCAGCAGATCACGTACTCATTATGAAAATCCTGTATGACGTCGTTGTGTGGTTTGATCCAGAGATTTATCAGTGTACATATAATATTATATGTACATGAAGCTAATCGTAAAAATTAGCTTTTTACATGTACTCATTTTTACCAAAAAGTGCAGGGGTGCATTGTTGTTCTTATTAGAAAGTCGTTAGATATACACTTCCCCGGAAATCGAATAATCTTAGTCTGAAGTTATTTATTTACTATATTCAACATCCACCAAAAAGTGCTGCAGGAAATCTCACCAACAAGGAACACGGTCAAATACTGAAAAAAACACTAAAAAAGTTTTGCTTATAAATCTGTAGTTTCACTGCTTGTAGTGTACCGCTCTGAACGCTTTGTAATCTAAAATGAGCCACTTAATTTCGTGTAACTTTGGATGATCTCGTGTAAAGCCATCACACTACGACATAAAGCAATATTCAATTACAAGTTACTTAACCGTACTTTACTACTTTAACATTGGGTGGCATTGCGATCTGATTAAAAATCCATGGTAAATTTAAACCATTTTGTGACGCTCTTCGACAAAACAAATACATTCTCATGATTTGCAATTAAACGTGCCCGTCATTACATAGTGGATCTGCTTACATTAAAATTCACTCACGATGCTTAAATGAATCGTTATAATATTTACTCATTACACTTGTAACTATAAACAAATTCACAACAACTTTTACTGTGCGCTATATAACAAATTTTGATTCTGCCTTTTCTAGAGGCAGTTACTGTCTAGCAGAGCAAAGCATTCTACAAAGTCTTCAAAAAATCATTGTACAAAGCTTTACATTACACAGCAAATTTTCACGTACAAATAAGAAAAAAGTAGTAAGCAAGTAAAACAACACTGTATTTCATGATTTATTATACTATGGCAATATAACAATCGCTAGCTGAAATTTTTTATTGTACAGGATAGTTTGCTGCTTACCATGCACAGAAGATGACTGAGCAAATACAGGAAACTGCACACGCAGAGAATATCGGGTAAGCGCGATTTTATTACCGCCATCCGGCTCAGACATCACCCTCTCATCACGGATTCCACATTTTTCTACATTATCATGAGACGACCTGTAAATCCAGACACTTTTCCCCACCGCATCCCAGTTGCCCTGCGCGCTTCCTCCGGGTACTATGATGGAACGCAAAAACCATTACAACAAGAATACCACAATTAATTGCAAATACGCGCGCATCCACAGGGTGGTGTTCGCCTCGAGCACTGTCATAATATGGAATGTCAGTAAATCAGCTGCATATTGCGTGCCAGTCGTTATAAAGAATATACGAGCAATTATACAGCCATAACAGACACTTAGATGGTGCCATCGACAAGTGCGCGCTGCGGAGATTGTATGTTATTGTATCTTCCCCGGCGTTAAGCGTAGGGGGAGCGCCAGATAACCTTTTACGCGAGCTGCAGAAGCTGCATTGGTAGCTAATCAATACACGGTACGTCAATACATATAAATAAATGTAGGTTCAGCGCCGATGGTATTTTGTTCACCTGCCGGTTGTTATAAGGTACGCGCCACGATTTATTGTACACGTGACCTATTTTCTTGATCCCAGTAGGTACCATACTAGCGTAATATAAACGGGAACATCGGGGTGCGTGCGCTACACCATATCCCGCTGTGCGCTAATCTCTTGTATCAATATATATGCAGCCAATTTTTGATTGTAGTGGATGGAGTGCGCGCTGGATGACGGTGTAGGTTAAGTGTTTTTTTTTACACGGGAAGCACCGGTCCGTCTTCCGTTTTATGGAGCGTGTAAAATGACAAGGGCGTTGTTGTAAAAGTATTTGTTCTGGGGTTACAAAAGTCGAAGTCGTTATGCGCTGCCAGCAATAATGTCGAGTTTTACTTCGTACAGTATCGATTTACGTACGGTAATTCGAACATCCTAACGTTGTAAAAAACATAAACGAAGGAAAATTTAGTGTCTCTCGAGTCGTTTCTTTTATTTGAAACCGCATGTTGTACAATCACTTAGTATATAAATGGCGCTGGGCTATAATTACTGAATGGCAAACGGAAACTAAAGGTCACCTGCCCAAAATAAAAATGTAGTCTCTCCTTTTACATTTTACTATTTTTTTTGCACGTAAAAAATAGCATTATGATGTACGAGAAAGGCGTTACGAACTTACGATATATTATGAGAAATAACATTTTGATTTCACAGTATCTGTACTCTGTAATGGGCCGTATTTGTATAGAAGTACCATACGGTTATGACGTGGCTATACTTCAAAGTATACATGTATCTGCAGGCAAAAGGGAGTCAACAGATTTACACAGGTTTCCATGTTGCTCTAGTTAACCAGAAAAGGTTGCCCATTTAAGGTTGCTCTCGGGGCAAACAACGTTAAACGTTATTTATTCAAGCACAAACCTGGATGGGTGTACGCTCCGTCTTTACGATGGTTCGATCGCTGGTACTGCCAGCAAGATGTAGGTGGTTTGACGTCTCATCTTTTACAGACAGAAATATCGGCTGTTATCAAATATTATTTTTACAAGTCGATAAATGCGGATCGATTCTTGAAATCTTGCGTTCTCTTACATCTGCCTTCTATATTACATGGCATGGTTCATCCCCGTTTGTGTAGGTCTGCTTTGCGTGCAAATCTACCGTGGGACCCTTTTTTGAGTTTGTTCTGCTAAATGTCTGTCGGTAGTTGGGAATAGTTGGGATCATGAGTACCTGCTCCAGTATGACCTTTTTTGATGCTGCATTTATGCGCTCAAAAATTTCAGTTTTCAAAGTAAAAGAGCTAAAAAAGTATCAAACGTCTTTTTTTATGACTGTGTCCCAGTACTTTGCACGCTGTATTTCCGTTAAGGCGTTAGCACTTGTACAATACAACGCCATTAAAAATTTGATCTAATGCGCTGAAGTTGTCTCGGCAGCTATCATTTTAGCAATTTCTTCCTGGGTTATCCTGGTTATTAACGGATTATGATTTGCGGTAACACAATTAAGCTCTCATGTTGTGCAATAAACTAACCATAAAAATGGCCAAGCAAACAATGCCACTAAAGCTACTGCTACTGTTAACTACAAGTTTGTATTAACAAATGTGCGATTGCAATTCTATTTGTCTCATTTCTTACTAATGTTGTTTATCATTAAGATTAAAATTTTGACCATGAGTTTCGCCTACCGCGACATGTACAGAGGAATACGTACAGGAGAATCGGGTTTACAATTACGCTATTTTATTTGGCTTGAAGAATAAGAAAACGTTTCTAAATTTATACATGTGATTTCGTACGATTCAACGTATCTTCTTGTATAAAATTGAGCAACTCGGCAAAACTTGTGTTTTTTGCAGTAGCATTGACCGCACTATATTTGCAGTCGTGATAAACCGAGTGGACAGCGGGTTTCTTGCGCCAGTTGACCTTATCCGGTCCGTAAATGAACCGCCAGATTCCACTGTCCGGTCCCGGGTTATTAATAAGTTCGTTGTCAACGTAGATGTTTTTATCGTAGATCTTCTTGCTCGTGTAGATCTTCCAGGGTATTTCACCGGAATTGTACACCCATTCACCGGCGCGATAGTCACTAGCGTAAGCATCCAGAATATCCGCCAGATAGTTGGATCCGCGCTGGCAGACGATAAACCCGGCATTCATTTTTCTCATATATATCTCTTCTTTGGAAATGATACATTCGTAACCTTGCTTTAATACTGCTAGAAGATCTGCAAAATAATTCATGAAGAAGCCGGTATTTTCTTGTGAAGTCGGAAAGGTTACCTGTTATGTTCGGAAGGAAAAACACATCGAAATCAGCCGCAATACCGCCGTATTTATACAGGGTAATTAGTTTGGCAACATCAGCTTCATGCGCCAAAAATTTTGCCGTGGAATTCAACCGTCTTCCGTTGACCACAAATCGACGTCGCGTATATACCAGTTTGACCTTACTCCAAGCCGTGATAAGGTCATCACATGAATCAAACGGCCAGAAATCCGGATAGTTGGTGTGGACATACACTCTCGATGGTTGTATATACGTCAACATGGACAGCAAACTGAGACACTCCATCCAACACAGGCTGTTGTTAGGCTTAATGGGCGTTTGCCGGTAGAAGCGTATTAAGTGAATGGGCATCTGGGTGGCTTGGCTATCAAAGGGCAACACCATGTCATCAATCTGACTAGGCAGGAATTCCACTGCTGATTGGCTGGTTCTGTTCAAGCCTTCGCTACTGGATGAGATTTTAGAGTGTAGTTGGATGAACTGCGACGAGAGAGTTGGAGGCGCGAGATGCGTTAAAGGACCAAAGTAGCCAGCAATGATAACCAGTGTGAAAAGAGCCGCAGCCGGTATGGTGCTGATGACTATGTGTAGCAAACTTCGACTGGTTTTTCCCATTGTAGATCACAATTTAATATCAAGGCAATTCAAACAAGTATGACAGAAAAGGTGTTGCTCTCAGATGCAAATAAAGATCTACAGCAACATGTAAACCTAAAGTGGACAACGGTCCGTAAAAAAAGGATAGTTTTTCTCGTGTTCGAGGCTGCAGCGAACAAAATCACAGACAACAATCAACAACAAGCATTATATCGGTATTGGTATACAAAGGTGTACTACAACTACCGTAGGAGATAAACAGAGGTCACTCGTCTATTGCAGAAATGGATGTTCATGCTGCAATAAGAGGTACGTATCTATAATCCATTAACTACACGTAAATACGGATGTACAAGTATACACAAGTCGACCTTTTATATAAAGATGTGGCATATACTAGTACCATGGCGGCACAAAAAAACAAACTACCGGCGCCATGGCTGTTATAATGGTTAGTGAAAATTCTGCTTGGTCATTGGCTCTTGCATCAAATTGGCCAGTTGTCTCTCAGTTCCGGGCGCATTTATTATCGGGTCAGGGCTGTGCGTCCACTATTTTTTAAATTAAAACAACGGGTGACACTGAATACGCTCCCTCGCATATCGTTGACACATTTGTGTAGCCATTATACTTCCTTGTCCTCCTATTTCCTACCTTGCTAGCTTGCTCGTAAACCCTGTCGGTTAGCAGAAGGTCTGATAGATTACATAACTTCGGCCTAACGCTGAATACTGAGAACTTTTACACGATACGTTTTGATTTGCAGCAGACAGGCTGGAATGCAAAAAATGAATCGATTAGCGTACTGTTTGTTATTGGTCCTTAAAAGATACAGCAGCAATGTAAGTATACGTGTACCTGTGCAGGTTGTTGCAAAGCTAAATGCACAAGTAAGATAATCTATGCATTTTTTGTGTTCAAGTCAATCAGCGACAAATCAAAATGTATCGGAAATATAGATACTCAACAAATGAGTCGCGACACGCGAACGCGGCATGCCTTCAAGACTTCCAGTCTTCACTCTACAGATACACATGATAAATTATAATTGCACACTATGCTGGCGACAAGTTCCGGAAGGTAATACTGCACTGTCATAGCAGTATAAGACTTTTTAATTTTAAAATTTGTAATTTATTCCGAAAACCGTTTATATAACATCAAGAAACGATACAAACTTATTTATAACCGGCACAAATTGTATGAACATGCTTTCATTCATGAAAATATGAAGAACGTTGAACAAGTGAATTTATAAATGAGTGCAGTTAACGTTGAAATAAATGACTCTGTGCTGAGACACTTTGGGGGCTTGGCAATGCGGCAAGCTCGCGTGCTTTTGGCAGTTCTACAACTGCAGCTAGCTATTTATTAAAGTGAGTGTTCAGGCGGCAATATGATATTAATTTTATACTAAATTTGTCCATATTCTTGATGCAAAATACTTAGACACATAATGCCGACACAGACAATTTCCGGAAACAGCAGTACTACCGCCAAATTTATACGTTTTACAAGAACTTGGTGCTACAAATAACTGTGTTTACTAATTCACTTGGTAATTAGTGCTGCATAGACCGACAACGCTATATTAATGACGTAGTTCTTCTTCCAGCACAAGTGCGCTGTATCCTCATATCTATATACTTTTAAATTTTCGTACAATACAAAGTGGCTTCTGTAGGTGTATACATACTCTACTCAGCCTACTGACATACTCTGATGTCCGCCGTCGGCGCAGCCAATTTCCGTTTCTTTTCCGTTGCACTAATTTTGTTTACCAAGCTTGTGTATACTGTATCAGACCACACCCCATACAAATCGTGAAATTGTGCGGAATGCCATTCTAGATTAAAGCGGAGTACACCAAGAGTGAAATTTGGTTTGATATTGTGCACATAGCGATTACTAACGGTAACAGCAATAACTGCATGCCGCTAGCTGCATCTTGGTCGCAGTGCCAGCACAAGATAATTTTTAACTTGTTGCCGTTTCTTTCGTTATTGTTGGTGTTGATGTGTCGTAAACCTAAATTGTTAGTGCAGTGCCGGTCGACCTTTGGCAGAGCCACTAATATGGGATTTCTTCTGCCTGAAGCATCGCACTTCCACACGATCGACAATACTACACTGACTGCAATCAGCTCTAGCACAACGACATCCAAAATTGTCATCTTCTATGCATCACTAAATACCGTTTCGGATATCCTGTGCCTGTACGTTTTCCATAAATGGAAAACCACATTGCCGCCTTCCGTTATCCATCACGTTTCCAGCTGTATCTCGCAGTTAGCCTATGGTGTCATTTTACTTAACTTAGGCGTTATCAGCTGCATCTTTCCTCATGCTGCCGCCTGGATTGGCCAGGTACTGACCACAAGTGTGACCTTTTTCAACGCCTGCCATAATGCGCTTTTGCTATTGGTTATTTGTGACCGATGGCTCAGCGTGGAGTTTCCGGTGTTTTACGTCAACAATGTCACCAGTAACTTAGCCGTTGCGATGGACCTTAGCGCCATCTTCGTCAACCTAACCATTTACTTGTGGGTTTTCATCTGGAACCACGACAAATTCTACTGGGAACCGGAAATCGGTTTATCCGTTTTCCGCTGTATGGAAACATGGTGGATTGTCTTCGTTATCGTCAACTATGCAACATGCGGCACCTTAAATTTTATTTTCCAACTGCGTATTATAATTCTTGGTGCCCGTTTGCGAAATAAGCGTAAATTACTGAAACCGCCCGATAATGTTCCAGAACGATCATTCATGCACCAGCAAATCGCGGATTCAGAGTGTTTTGAAATCGTCCGAGCGTCGTATCATATTATTCTTCATATGCTGCTTAATCTGCTCTTCCGTACTGTGATTACAGTGTGGAATACTCTCAATAGCTTGGGTTATCTGACACCAAGCCAATATTTGTACTTCATGTGCAGCGTCATGGTTAAGGACGTGATAATTGTACCAACGCTCTTTATTCTGTATCCACGTTTTCGTAAGATAATGCTGAACATCTGCAGTCATGTTACCAGGAGTTATTTTTGCTAAGTGTCTTAGCTAAACTAAAAATCGTTAGTTTTGGAAAATATTGAATCATATTGAAAGATCATCGATTACATAAGTTCCGGTCGTTTTACTGGACATTCATATTGTGGTGTTAAGGCCTGGCAGACTGAAATCAAAAGCAGCATCTTCACTATTCAAGCTGCATTTGACCTTTGTTTTCAACATTCGTTTATGATGATAACAGTAACATGTTCAAGTTTGTCGCCGACAGAGTACTGCTGTATACGGAGCGGCGCGTTATTTAGAATTTTATATAATTTCAATAAGAAAAATGCTTACAATGCACTCTGAACTAAAATGCTAATTCATAAAAGTGGGATAAGAACAATTTCGATAAGCGAATACGATCATAGCAGCACTAAGTTTGCTGCACAGGTGTACGTCAAAGCTTATTATGCGTATCGTTATCCAAGTACCACTGGAAACAGTACAACCGTCTTTCGTTCCACATTTCAAAGGCCGCTCATTTACAGGCGCACTTTTTCTCTTATATGGTCAGAAAACCTCTCGGATACTACTGAGTAGTACTGTTGTCCACGGGGTCACGACGGGGCTGAAGCAGTCCACTCCGAGCGGAATATTCCATGATGGGCTGCACATGCATAATACAAGAATTTCCCTTGCTTAGAAATTAATGAGTTTTTACAGTGCACTTTCGTGTTCCACAAGCAGTACTTAAGTTTACAAAAAAAAGTGTCAGAAATTCCGAGTCACATCGCAAATACAACGATATACCATACTTGTATTGTACAATACGATATACTACGATGTTGTATAAACACCACAAATACTACGAACTACGATATTGCATATGGCGTTTACATCGGTTAATTACAGTAATTATATACCCTGAATTTGTCGGTGGAATCCATTTGACTTAGAATCCAGTCCACACTGCGATCTCCCTTGGCGTCGATGACGACATCGTTGCCTAACACGGTGTATGTGCGGTTCCACATGGACCTGCACAATGCCGGTCCATCGCTAGTATCGCCGCCATTTGCTAAAGTCTCGTTCAGAACCTAATTTTTAGCATCAAATGGGTATACATGGATTTATTTTAATTTTTTAACCAGCAGTTCTGGATTAATTTTTTTAACATCATTTATGAAATAACCAAATTTATTTACATGAGGGGTTACATAATCTGAAAGGTGCAACTCGACTTACCTGACCATAAATAGCCAGCGAGTAGTAGTACGATAGCACAAATGGATCGGCCTTGTAAAATTACAATTACAAATCATCATGCTGCATTGTTATAAGAACCGGTCAGCTACATATTTTGTGCTTACCTCATCTTTATGGGAAAAATTGTAGCCATACTTTTCCTCGGATACCCTTTTGACCTCGCTTGTAAGATTGCGATATTCTGGTGTATTTTCAAAACGAGTTGAGATTTTGAAAAGCGAATCGAATGCGGCGCGAGCATCCTAAAATAACGAAACCGTTTTAAGGTCACCAGTTACCACGATACGTATACAGCAATAAATAATCCTTTATAGTAAAACATCTCAGCCTTGCCGCATTTCGATCGGGATCGGTCTCCGAGTACCAGGTTACATTGCCAAAAAATTCTGTTTCATGCCAAGGTTGAACCGCGAAGTATAGCTAAATAAAGGAATATTAAATTAACTCTTTAATGTTGATCGTTAACTGTGACCCCAGTAACGAGCTACTTTGTATTTCAGAGGAGTAAACTGGATGATCGTTTTAAGACTTACATACTCCTTCCCCGTTAAAAGCTGGTCTGATGCCGCTAGCTGTGAAAACGAAAAAAGCATTATTTTTTACTTATTGTAGCCGTATAGAACTACAGATTGCATCTCGATCTTTTCAGAATCTCATTCTTTCATTAATCTCAATCTTTTCACAACTCCGTATACCGTGCAGGATATTACAGTTTTTGGCTTACCATGATTGAGCGAACCCGGTCGCCAGGGGCCACGAGGAAAATGACTGAAATACATACTCACTGTTTAGTGTTTACATACTTATCGCCCTCTTTAAAAATGTTCACAAAAAAAGGGGAAAAACGAAGATACTGCATGTTAATCCGCTTTATTTCGCAATACAAAGAGTAACTGCCGAAAGCATAAGCATAAAACATAACCAGAATAAAGCAGCAATGCTTAACACTTAAAGTAGCACAGCTTAATTTACTTCAACTGATTTTCTTTGATGTACTGCGGCAATACCTTTTGCAATCGCGCTGGCTTTGATCAGGATCTCTTGGACTGCTGATGTGTCAGCGGTATTGACCAAAAACAACTTTGTATCAATTTTGTTTCCCTTGTGAAGGCCAGATTCCAGCGCACGGCACGCTGACGTAATAAAGCGTCCCTGAAGGCTTTCTCGCGTCCGATAATAATCGTAATCGCATAACACTACCACCGGACACGTCGTGCAGTTGAACATCGTTAATACGTTGTACACAAACTTCACCATTTCCTCATTGTCAAACGGAGCAACCCGCGTTAGCGTGGAATAGTCACTCCTATTATTGTTTCCTCGATTCGCAAAATGCATCCTACGAATATGTGGAATAATTTACGCGGGAATGCATTTGGTTGCAGGATTATGTATGCCTTTACACAAGTGACACTTTGACTTACGATGGGACGAATACTGGAATTTCCCATTCTACAACGAATTTTACACGTATAAAACACGGCGTGAGATGCTTATATAGAAGTTTTTTCTTACGCATACCTTTCGCCATGTAGTTCATAGATGACGTCCACAAACAATCTGCGTAAAACTGACTTATGGTTAGTTAGATTACAATTTCCAGGCAGGATGCCGGAATTTTGACGCAAAAATGGGCGTGTTGGACAGCTATCTAGTTGATTGAATTACCTATATTGAATTACCGGTAGTGTATTAAATTACCTATATTAACCGTAAATGTACCTGGTCCAATTATCGCCATGCCTGCGATGTCCAGTGTTTCATTGTAGCGAAGCTGACCGGCCCAAAGTGCCATTTCTGTTTCCAGGTCGTCACAAAGCGTGGGATTGCTACGGTATATGTTAAACGTTTTTCGTGTTACATTCAACTGAAATCCATACTTGGTTCGTAGGTGGTCTTCTGCTTCATCCAAAACAGCCCTTAAACCGACGGGATTGGATATGATATCGCCGCGCCCAGTATATTCTAACAAGGCGATCGTGGACTGCGCTGCCGACGAAGGAAAATCGTCAAAAAGCGCCCAACAGATAGCGAGACATAATGATGCGCTTCGAAAGAAGTCCATGTGCTCCAGCATTTCGTGTACTTTAAAATTATTGCCTTGAATTATAAGCCGAAGTACATACACAGACTTTGCTTAACAAGGGGTACATGTGCACATGGCCCAAAGTTTTACCAGAACAGCAGTTCCATCGAAAAGGCAACAAGAAATACGCTTCCTTGTTAATCGTATAAAGCTGCACTAAAGTCGATTGTCTGGATTTACCCATTGCTAGGCTAGAGGCAACTTTTTGACTAATTTAATTACGCAGAATATTCATTTTGCTTAAGGGCTATCACAAGGAAGTAAAAACATTATTCCGACCATCCTTTCCGTAACAAATTGTGCATTCAGAGCTGTTATAGCATAACTCACATAAAGAAAATTGATGTGCACAGCGCTTTTTCTGAAAACTTTTTAGGTTCTGGCACAATGTTTATGAGTAATATTGGATATACGTTAGCAGTTTTAAATGTTAAATGCTTATGTTTGCCGAAACATTGCTGTTTCGGTGTCAAGCGGTGTGATACACAGATAATACTGCATTTTCAAGAATACATTTTGGCAAAATTGTCTTGCTGTTAAAATTTCGTTCTAAACTGAATTACACATAAAGCTGAACGGTTACAGCTCCGAAAGCGTTATTAAATGTGTCAGGTCATGGAAACACAAAGTTTCAAATCCGAAGAGCTTGCCGGAACTGTTGCAGTATTGGAACTAAACGGGACAACCATTCCGCGGTGGAGTTCAGTGCAGTATACAGCAACATCGATGTCCCTGGCTGCTGACTTGCCGGCTGCTCCGTAGAAGCTGAAAAGCGTAATCATATGCGTTAAAGTGTATGTACGAGTACATATCGTGGTGCAAATACATGTATCCATAAATGCTTTGGATATTTAATAATTTATGTGGACCAAGCTTTTAGCTTCAACCCACCATCCAGAACTGTGCATCCATCATTCGTCCCACCGGAATCGCATTTCAAAGGTCCCTCTTTTACAGGCATACGTGCTCGCTTATTTGGCCAAACAATCTGCCGGACACTGCCACCCACGGGGTCCCGACTTGACCGGAATTGTTGGTCCCGAGCGGAGTATTCCATGACGGGCTGTACACAAACTTCAGGAGTTGATAAGCTGTTACCAAATAGTGCAACCTTTTGTGCTGCAAGCAGTGCTTGCTAAATTTGCCGCAAAGACAAGATCTGCATTGCAAATAGCTGTGTAGTGTGTACTTACTCTGTACCTATTCTAGATATTGCGCATAACACTCGTAACGCTTAACTAGCTAAACATACCATAAAATTTCCAGCCGAGTCCATTTGACTGACGACCCAGTCCACAGTCCGATCTCCGTTGGCGTTGATGACAATCTCGTTTCCTAATATCGTATACGAACGGTTCCACATTAACTTGCATAGTGCCGCTCCATCGCTGAGATTGCCGCCATTTGTTAGCGTCTCGTTCAGAACCTATTCAATTTAATTATTGCGACTAACGGGTGGGTTATGTCAATGTGCAAAGAGATTACTAGTATTCAAAAAAATTCAGGACCTTCTTGCAGCAATTGAAATATCTTCGCTGTAGAATTAATAACTGGATAGTGATACTCGTATTATGCATATCACGGAAGCGCAACTTACCTGACCAAAGATAGCCAGCGTGTAATAGTATGACATCACAAATGGATCGACCTTGTAGAACCAGAACAACAAAACATTATGTTATGACTTACGATGTTACAAAATCCAAAATTTATTTTATATTTGGTATTTAACTTTATATTCTGTTCTTACCTCTTGTTTTGGCCAAATAGCGCCGTGCTGTTTGTCGGATAATATAGATTTCTTGACTTCGCCGGTAAGATTCCAAAATTCTGGTGTGTCTTCGGAACGCGTTGAGATAGTGAAAAGCGAACTGAATGCGTTTTGAGCATCCTAAAAAGAAAAGAGTGAAACTGTCTTAAAGCTCCCGCTTTCTAAGGCAGAACGTCAGCTAGCTTCTGTGGAATAATAAATCCTTTTCGGAAGAAAACCTTTAAAAGCGCCATTCTAACTAAACTTGCCGCATTTCGTTCGGGTTCGGTTTTCGAAAACCAGGTAACGTTGCCGAAAAGGTTTGTGTCGTGCCAAGGTTGCACCGTGAAGTACAGCTAGATAAAGCACACCATGAACTCTTTGTTTTAATTTTTGCAGTTAAGCGCATGATCTCGTGACAGAAATTTATAATGGATAAGCTGGTTGACGATGTGCGAACTCACATATTCGGCCCCGGTCAAACCCTGATCTAATGCAGCTAGCTGTGAAAATCAGAAAAGTAACAATTATTGTTGATTTACTCTCTTGTTAATCGAACAATTTCGTATCAAAGTTTGCGGCTTACCATGACTGCTCGAACCCGGTCGCCAGGGATCGCCAGGAAAATGACTAAATAAAAAAATGAATAATTGTGTATTTATTGTCATTAATTTTTTCAAAATTTAGTATAAAGACGTAAAATATAAAGGGATGTGCTTATCAGCATTAAGCTGCATGCTTTCTGAACACAATAACTTTAGCCGTTTAGTACTTTAAAGTTCAAACAGCATTATGAATCGGATGGCTACAAAGCGCAACGAAATAAAATTTGTGACGACCGAGCAACAGCGTAAGTTTTATCGATTCATTCATGAGAAGAAGGTTAGCTTTAGTTCTCTTAATTCTTATCGAATGATTTAACCAGTGTACGGTGTCTGGCGATACCTTTTGCGATCGCGCTGGCTTTTGTAAGGGTTTGTCGAACTGCCAACGTGTTGGTGGTGTTGACATTAAACGAAGTCGCACTGATTCTATACCAATCGCTTAGGCCATATTTCAGCGCAAGACACGTGGACAGAGTAAAGCGTCTCTGACGATTTTCGCGGTCATAATCATCATCACACAGCACTGCCACCGGACATGTCGTACAGTTGAACTTCGTTAACACGTTGTATATAAACTTTATCATTTCGCGATCGTCAAACGGAGCAATCCGTGTTAACGTAGAATAATCACTCCTCTTGTCGTTCTCTCGAACCGAAAAATGTATGCTACAAAGAGCGTAAATAAAGCGATTTGCGAGTGAATGCATTTATCTGGTAGAATAAATGTGTTTTGGCACAAAGTGACACTTTTACTTACGATGGGCTGAATACCGGGATATTCCATTCTATAGGAAATGGTATATAGAGAACCAGCATGCCATCACTACACATTTCTGAATCTTCTTACCTTTAGCCATGTAGCTTATGGTTTTGGATGTCGATAAACAAATCTCTACAAACGGATCTTGATAATTCAGTGTAAACACATACAGAGTACAGTAACTGCAACGGCTAATTCTGATTATGTTGAACTAAGCTGCAGTGTTCGACAAAAGGTCGAAAAGGATACATTCGTGATTACAATTTTTCTGTACGAACAGATCAATCTGCATTGAAGAAGGGCAACTTTTACCTGGTGCGATTATCGCCAGCCCGGAAATGTCCGGTTCTTTACGCCTGTAGTAAAACTCACTAATCCAAGCTACCGCATCTGTTTCCAATTCCTCGCAGTACAGCATGGGATTGCGATTGAGTGTGGTAATCCTTAGCCGTGTTAGATTCAGCTGGGTCCAGTAGCTGGTTCCTAAATGTTCTGCCGCTATATCCAGAACATGATTAAATGCTCCACTGCCGGAACCAGAATATTCTAACACAAGGATTTTCGCCTGAGCTGTCGACGATGAGAAACCGGTAAAAAGAAAAATCCATACAACAAGACGTAACGATGATCTGCGATAGGATTCCATTTAATCCAGCACTTTATAAACTTGAAACGTATTACCCCTAATCGAAATGCTAGTACCCTAACAACTCGCCTAATATTATTAGAGATTTATATTCGCTTATGAGCGCAGGTCTTATCGGTACGGTAATTCCGTTGACACGTATATAATACCCTTTCCTCCTGATCGTATATGGCTGCATTAAACTCGCTCATCTGGATTTAGCCATTGCGATGCTAGAGGCAACTGTCTGACTATATAACTCAATAACGCGGATTATGCATTTTGCTGAAGGGTGTCTTACACGGAAGTAAAGACAATATTCCATCCATTTTTTTGTAATACATTTTCCTGTGCTGGTTTCAGTATAATCCGTGTGAAGATTTTCTTGTATGAGTTTTGTCTTTTCAGGCAAGTTTCATGAATTGTAAACCGGAAAAGGCCTTTAATTGCTTTTACTGCGGTACCGCAAATAAAGGTCAAGTGAATATATGCGCAAAAAATTTTCACTGGGAACTTCAAAAACATCGGATCTATGTGCTCGACACGATTCGACAGAAACGTAGAATGCCATGCCGCCACCTTGGCGTGACCAGGGTGTGTTACGTTCTTATGATCGCTTTTGAAACTACAGAATTACCGCTTAGCAGCAATACTTCAGAATTACTGCATAGGCAGTAGTTTGCCAATTGGAGTTTGGCATTCTAGTTTAAGTCCCCGGTAGCCACAGCGCGGCTCATCAGGAGACGGGGCTGTCCGATTGTTTGGCCAGACAATCCGGCGGATGCTGTTGTCCACAGGGTCACGACTGGGCTGCAAAATCCGCTGTCGTGCACTGTACTCCATGACAGACTGTAAAAAAAGTTTATTGTTAACCTTGCACTGCTGGTATAGCCTGTCTTGTTGCTCCATAGTTCGTTCAAAAGCAAAATCCGAGACGGTGCAGCATCAAGCTTTCGTCCTCTTCTTACCGTAAAATTACCCGTTGAGTTCATCTGGCTGAGCAACCAATCGGAGCTGGTGTCTCCGTTGACATTAATAGTAATATCCCTGCCTAAGACCGTATAGGTTCGATTCCGCATGCGCTGAGACAGTGCCGCTCCGTCATTTGGATTATCGCCGTTTGTTATCGTTTCGTTCAACACCTGTACAACTTGGTGAAATTTCATCAAAATTTACATTGGTAAGTGTGACATTAATAAAATAATGTATGACGCAGAGTCTGTACATATTAAACGGATCAATGCTTTATAAATTACCTGGCTGTACATGTCAAGCGCGTAGTAATAAGAAACAGCAACTGGGTTGACCTTAAAAACCAGAGATTATAAGAAGCTAGAAAAGCGCTGTTTAGCTTTTGGTTGCAGTATGCACTATGCGCACAGTATACCTGTTCTCCAGGAGAAAACACGTAGTTGTACTTTTCTGTCGACAACCGCTGGACCTCCTTACTGAAATTCTGATATTCTGGAGTTTCCTTTACCCGTGGCGACATAATGAACAGCGAACGAAACGCTGTTCGAGCATCCTAAGAAAAAGACAACGCGTTCTCGGCCATTTTCAGATGCAGATGGATCCGCTAACATTTGGCTTTTTTCGATTTACGTATGCTAATTATAAAGGGATGATTATAAGCTGTAATACAGATCACCCTTGCCTCATTGCGTCCAGCATCTTTCTCCGAATACCAAGTTATATCGCCAGCAGGTTGGACCGCAAAATATACCTTCAAAATTTAGTAGATTAAGGCTTTGTCAAATGTGATTAGTGTGAAAGCATTTTGCTTCTTACATATTCTTCCCCCGTCATGTTTTTATCAAATGCTGCAAGCTGGAACGTACAATCGGTGACCGGGGATGACAAATCAATCAATGAGACTATTGTAATATTCACCGCCTTACCATAATTGATCGAACGTGGCTGGCAGGTGCAAAAATCAAGATAACTGAAAAGAAACTCTTTTTATGCGGTTTGCTAATTAAGCATACCATACATATGACAAATGAAATAACCGGCAAAGCGTAAAAAGGTGACCACATAGGTACATTACACAGTTTACATAATTATACAGTATATTTATTTGTCATATTCAGTAGTTTAACTAAAATATCTGGTTGTATTGGCACCTCTTGCTACGTCACTGGAATCTTGAAGATAGTGTCGTATGTTAGCTCTATCGTCAGCTTGGATATAAAATCGGTTCACCGTAAACTGGTGCGACCGATCCGTTGTTAATCCATAATGGCGAAGAGCATCGACAACTGACATACACATCGTCGTATAAAGGTCATCATCGTTATCATCATCACATAAAAGTACCACCGTGTGGTAGCCAAATGCGGTTAATACTTTATAGATAAACTGGTTCATGTCAGCATCCATGATGTCGGAAACTCGCGTCAAGGTGGAATATCTAGTTCGGTCTAGCGCACCAGTACCGCCGCTTAATCCGAGCCCTCTGGAGATGTAAAGGCGTGTACATACGTTAATACGCACTTTTATTTCAAACGGCAGCTAATTGTTTTGCACCCTTTGTGAGCACTTACAAACCGGAAAATGTTGGTATGTTCCATTCTACAAAATCAAGATCGATGCACGAATAATTAAGTGCAGTGCAAACATTTTTCATAGTATATAAATTTTCTCTTCATAGCGCGCTCGTTTTTTTTATTTTGTAAAACTTGGCTACAAAAAGTGACCAATGTTTTTTAAAACGTACAATTGCACTTAATAAACTTAATGCTTAAGCAAAACCTACTAAGTAGATTGCTCAAATATCTCCCCACCTTTGGCAAGGTAGCTAATCATCGCCGTTGCTGCCGGACAGCCTAAAAAGTAAGATCATCGCCATCCAGAAAATCATGAAAGCTACGGATCTGCTTACTTGGACCAAATACTGCCATTACAGAATTCTCATGGACATTTCCGCAATACATGCGAGTAGCCCACAATGTTGCCGTCTGCTCCAAATGACTGCAGTCTGTTGCACCGTTGCGATCGTAGAAGCGTGATCTTGTTATGTTGAATAGTGAACCGTACTTGGTTCGTAGATCCTCTTCTCCTTTATCGAATACAGCGTTCAAAGCGCCCGCGTTCGAAGTTTCGTTACCGCGGACAACGAATTCCAGCAGGTTGATATTGATTGTTGCATCTGCCGGTGGTGCATGGTAGCCAAGTAGGCAAACGCAGGATGAGAAAAGTAAAAGAGACTTTTGAACTGATCCCATATTGGTGTTGTATAAAATTTCGTATGAAATGCGGCATCAAATAATTAACACATTTTCTTACTTACAATGTCATACGGTGGCAGAAATCGGCAATGTTCATTTGGCATTAGTTGGCTCACTAATACTGTGACAATATTCTGGTTTGCTATTTGCCCGTAGGTAAAGCTTAAATACCGAATATAGTACCTTACTGAATATTCATGTTTCTAGGAACAGACGGATATTCGTGCCACTCCGTATGAGGAAGCAGGCATGACTGACAGATATAATTATGTTTTCTCTAATACCGTCTAGAAAAGATTTGCTAAAGCGTATCGTTACGTTTACAGAAACTTTCGCATTTATATTCCACTACCTCCTTCGGTACTTTCAAGCTGAATTCGTCAATGAGGAAAATAATTATGAGGAATTACGGTGGTATCCTTTTAGTCCTATACTAATTTTTTAATCCAGTTGAAAACGAAATGCAGAAACAACGCTGAAAGAGCTAAGACTTTACTAAAGTATTTAAAACATGCAATATTGCTAGTTTGTTTAGCCTGTATAACTGGTTGCCGCACTACGCACTATTCTTAACCTTTTCAAATGCGGGATCGATAGCAAGTTATCGACATGGCAGTTTGCTTTGTATGTAAAAACAGCGTCGTTCTAGCGTACAGAAGCTAATTGGTAAGTTGGTAACTAATCAATTTTATGATTTCTTTTAAATACCCTTCTGTTGTGACGCGGTACGTGGTCTCATTAATTAATCAATTTCTGTATTCAGGGAGTGCATGGGAGTGCATGGGAGTGCCATACATGTCTCCGCTTTCACTGGCTTTTTAATTTCCACCAGCAATTTCTTGACATAAATAAGTAACTTATTTCGTCTGGGTACTCAGCTGTTATTAAGATACCCAAGATACCCAAGGCGCAAATTAGCAGAATGCTTGAGTATGTAATCGATAGAGCTACCACAACATACCCAACGGAATAAGAAAGTTCACAGAATAGTAGCTCCCAGATTACATCCGACAGCAACCCCTTATGTGGCACGGAAACAGTTGTTTTACGTTTCTTAGAAGATGTAGACAATCCCGATTCCAGAGAACATTCCCAAGCCAGCGCTGAATATTAGCGTCAGTTACAAAGGTAATAATTGTAGTGACCTTTGAAGCGCGTATCTGTACAGAATGAACTCAACGCTCTTGAACCTAACTAAACGCGACTTCGGGGCCAATTTAACCCGCTTCTCGAACTCTAGTATCCACAAAAATGGCTCTACAATATCGCCATCTGACGCTCTAAAACTGCATTATGCAGTCATAATCTTAAAACAGACTGCGACACCAATTGGTATGCTCCTCAACGGTGCCCTTTTGACGGTATTGGTCAGCCGCAAAACACTGCACAACTCCTTTTCTGTGTACATCGGCAACATTCTAATAACATCACTGCTTTATTCTGCTAGCGAATTCATCATCGTTCTAGTGGAACGCTATGGTACATCTACACCGGCGTTGTGCTATTTCCAGATGTGTTCGCAATGGGTTATCTGTGCTCAATGGGCTCATGCGCAAATGCAAATCTGTCTGAATCGCATTTGGGCGTTAACCTTTCCGATATCCTACAAGGAAAAGCATACCAAGAAATTGGCGGTGCTAATCACGGCTTGTAACTGGATGTTCTTATACGCCTTGGGTATTCCAACCGTGGCATTGAACACCATTTTTTATCCTCCCGTACCAGCGCGCCCCACTACAATCTGCTTGACGAGTATGCAGGCTTATGGCGGGTATTCGCTGGTTAACGTATTTATCGCCTTGACCCTTCCGACTGTTTTCATTATGCTGAGCTATCCCTACTTATTGCACATGCAACTGAAGCGATCCAGACAACGGAAGCGTCTCAGTGTGGCAGAAAATCCAGGCGTTGTTACACTGATTAAAGAAGATTTTCGGGCATTTATTGTGCTGACATCGAGCACGGTTTGCGTGACGTTATTCTGGACACCCATTACCATACTCAACGTCCTTGCCATTACTGGTCGTTGGCGCTCCAATCTCGATTTGTTCCAGCTCTTATTGTATCTATGTTCTCTGCTGGATCTGATTGTTAATCCTTCACTCATATTTCTATCCGTTAAGGATTTACGGTTAGCGACGTTGAAGACACTGAGACGCACCTTACTCGTGCGAAGTGTACATGTACAGCCTGGCGATCCACTCCAATCGTCTCAAACATCACAACGAGTGGGAACGCGGTAATTCGCCTTAAAGGATTCGGTGCTGGATCATCATCTACAACAACCATCGAGTCGAAATCGTGCGAATTTATAATTATGAGCTCGTAATTTAAAATATGTGATTTCAGTTCGTATTATGCTACATAATTGCGATGACAGTTGCGTTACAAACATTTATCAAAGCACTTTTAACGACACTTTACGAAGCTGACCCGGCTTATTATCGCCAGTTCATCATCATGACTTCTGTAACACATAATGCTGTATGTTAAAAACATTATTTTCTGTTGTAAAATTTGTTCTTTCAAATTTGCAAATCACTATCCGATACGACTATGCTGTTAATACAAAGCACAAACTACCGATATATTTAAGTTCTTATTAAATCTGACAGTAAACCGAATGGTTGTTCTGGAATGCAATGCAACCCTTCCCACAACTTGCATTTTTATTAATAATTATAATTTCGTGATGTACCCGTACAAGTGTAATACTCGTTTGCGCTATGCACATTAAAGTGTTGCGCATGCTTCAGAGAGCCAACAGATTCTGCCTCCGAAAACGAACCAAAATTTAATCAGATACGAAATACGGTACTCGTAGTGAAATATCGTGCAACAAGACACGAAAAAATCATACTGTAACAAAATGTACAGTTGTAAAAACAATAAATGCAAAGAGAGTGCGAAGTATCCTATATCTATACTAATTTTCTACTATGTCGCTACTATCCTTCATCGTAGACAGGATTAAGCGGTGAACCGACATATTTGCCATCTTTGTAAAGGTCAGTGTAACTGACGCCGAGCTGTTTCAGTGCTTCCTCCTCGATGTTCATTATAGCAAGCGTGTCTTTATGTGTCATATGCGGGCTCTCCAGCCAGCCTTCTTGCAGACAGCGACGCACCTCCTGCGCTTCATATACCATACCGGTCCCACCGGATTCGCCGCCGGTGTAAGTCAACCGGTGATTAACCTTCGGAACTGGGTACATTTCCTTCGTGGTATTCGTGGAGGTTTTCGATTTACGCTCCAGCTCGAAACGTTCAGGCCTCATAAAGCTGTTGGGAATCTGTACAAGAAAATTATATACTACTTGAAAAAGGATCTGCAATTCCTTTTTGTACCTTTATCGTTCCGTTTGTTCCAAACACAAAAGCTTCCTTGGGCATTTCCGCTAATAAAGTGCATGCAAGTTGAGCAATTCCACCGTTTTTCCATTGCAGTAAGAGCGATGTTGTCATATCGATAGCTGAAAAGTAAGCATCAATATGCGCACAAACATGGACGTATCGAGTATCATTATACTCGTAGAAATGAACGAACATTTAACATTTCAAGTAGAACAATTTAAGAATGTATTAATTTTAATCAGTCAAATGCGCACGCACAGTCATAACCCACTGCTTCCTGTCTTAAGGGGATCACTATATATGAGATGACTTTCATATAAATGGGTTATCGATATTAACATCAGCTTGTAGGAAATTTTTCGGGCTTTCTTGAATAGCTCTGTCCAGAGAGAGCGTAGACAAGATCGCAATATACCATTGTGTAGCCAAACCCTTTGCGCATGCAGTCAGAACAATTGAAAAAATGATCTTCCAGTTGTTTTTAACCTATTCATGTTTTCCCAGACCCACTTTCATCTCATAGTGATCCCCTTAAATTACGCTTACATTGTTAGCTCGCTTACATTCATTGTTAAGCTGTCCAGCAGCAGATAACCTTTCCGGCATTTCGTTTCCGAACACTTGCAGCGCAAACTGGATGGTGTACCCTCCAAGATCTTTTAGTGCTCCCCCACCCAGTTCTCTGCGGTACACACGCTGGGATGTTCTCCCGCTAGTTTGGCCGAGGTTGACCATCACCGTTTTGATTTCGCCCAGACCCGGCAGTTCTTGGCGCAGTCGATCGTATGCTGGGAAGAACCGACTCCACACAGCCTAATAATAAAGTGTGCTCATGAGAGATCATCCACTGTACCGGCTCAGCTTACATTATATACCGATGTACACGTTACACACAACAGAACGGCATGCATGATATAAAAGTCATACTTAACAAATTATAAGCCATTATTAATTAGTTCTAGGTGCAAGACAACTGCATATTAATTTTTTATTAGGGTTTACTCTACTACAAGTACACAAAAAAAAGTCTGAGCGTTTGTTGCATCTTAATCTTAACGAAAAACTGAATTCCGCTCTTGCCTATTGGAAGTAGAGCTTTAGCTGTTCGGATTTCTGGACAAGCTTAGCAGCTTCGTCGGCTTTGAGAGTCCGGATTGATCGTACCAATGTATACGACATCTGCAACATACAGTACTGTCCGTACAAGGGATATTCTTGTGGTTACATCAATATACGGAATACAGAATTACACCGGTATGGTGTATAGTACCATGGTAAAACCGTACCGACTTCTGGATCCTTGGCTAATTCTTCGTAAGATCCATATGCTTTTGTCCCATCGAACAGTTTCCTGTATTCTTCGGCTCGGCTTGCATTTCTTGATGCAAAGGCTTGCAGCTGTACAGTCATAGCGTAATTTACGAGTGCATTTATCAGGTCCATTTTGTTTATGAAGTAGCTTATGTTATGAACATTCGCGTTTTCATCCGATACCGACCTTGTGCTCAGTCCTTGGTAAACTTTCAACGGCGGCAGCAAAATTATTAGTGATACGCCCGCATCCCACAAATCCCCATCGGAGTGGGGATACTGAGATCGTATAGTTTTTTGCTGCGATTGGATACACAGTCCACAAAACGCCGGCAACAATTGAAATAATTTTGCTGTTATGTGTACGCATATTACTAAAGGTCAAAGGATGCAAACACCAAACTAGTTCTAATGCTTAAAGTATAATCAACTCAAACAGAAGAGTCGGAACTACTGTGTCTGGAAATAACGCAATCTCGTTCAGTGTAACTACATAGCCATGGTTAAAGCTGTCCGTGCAATAATACCCAAGCTTACAGTACTGAACACTGCTTCCACTTTCCATCGGCATGCATTTACAAGGTAGCTGGCTGGTCACAAATGATCGTAAGTTTATTCGTACTGTAATTCAGTGCTTCTACTGATGTGAGCTCTACACTCTACAGTAGCTAACATCGCAGACAGGTTCTTTTGCAATGGAAGTTTCCCATTTCCTTAACCAGCCTTTATGTTCAGCACCTGACAGACAGCCCACTTCTCAGTGGTACCTTTTCTGTTAAAAATCTGAAATACATTAGGGCGAGGTAAAAAAAACCAGGAAGAGCGATAGATAAATCAGTAAAACTAATTACGACGCAAATAAAGGCAAATATCAAAAAATTTTCGTTGCAGAATGCTTTATTTAAATCGCAACATTTAATTAAATTTGGAAAGTTTACAGAGAAAATTACGCAAAAAGCTTTTATTGTAAGCCTTCCATTGTCTTTGCCGTAGTCCCCGCTTATTTGGCAAACCAGTTGAGATTATGAACGCATTAATGAATATCAGTAAAAAAACTGCACAGAAAGCTCGCCAAGAAAGCTACCTGTACCGACCAGCTAATACAACAAATTAACGGTTTGGGACGTTTTTAAGTTAAACCCCATCATAAACAGAATTGAGCAGTGATCCAACATATCTGCCATCCTTGTAAAGGTCATCATAATTAACGCCAATCTGTTTCAGCACTGCTTCCTGTATATTCATAATGGCAAGTGTATCTTTGTGCGTCATATGCGGACTTTCCAGCCATCCTTCCTGCATGCAGCGCCGTACTTCCTGCGCTTCGTATACCATGCCAGTACCGCCGGCAGCGCCGCCACTATACGTCAGCCGGTGATTGACTTTCGGAACCGGGTACTTTTCTTTCGTGGTGTTGGTGGATGTTTTGGATTTCCTCTCTAATTCGAAATGTTCCGGTTGCATAAAGCTATTTGGAATCTGCAAACATACCGTTCGTAAAAGTTCGTAAAAGATCGTGTACTTAAGCCGAAGCGCTACCTTGATTGTTCCATTTGCACCGAAAACAAATGCCTCATTCGGCATTTCCGCTAGCGTACTGACTGCCAGTTGCGCAATTCCACCATTTTCCACTGGATCAACAACGATGTAGTCGTATCAATTGCTGTTGAATCAAAAAAGAACACACAAATTAAAATTTGTTGTTGTTGTAATATCAGCTGCAAATTCCGATTTCTATAAGATTTTATAAGCTTTTTTATATGTACTTTCGTTGTTTAGCAGCGCAACGGCCGAAATCTTTTCAGGCATTTCGTTCCCAAACACTAGGATGGCAAACTGAATGGCATAGCCACCAATGTCTTTTAGCGCCCCTCCACCCAGTTCCTTCCGGTAAAATCGGTGCGAATAACTACCACTGGTTTGACCTTTGTTGACCATTACCGTTTTAATTTCGCCGAGACTAGGAAGTTCTTGACGAAGACGGTGATATGCCGGGAAGAACCGACTCCATACGGCCTGTTCTCATGACGTATCGTAAGCATTTTTCCACCTTTTTATTTAACCAATCAAAGTGTTTTCTCGTACTTCTTGAAAGAAAAGCTTTAGCTGCTCGCTTCTTTGAATAAGCTTCGCTGCCTCCTCGGCTTTAAGGGTGAGGGGTTTTTCGCATAAGACATGTTTGCCGTGGTCCATCATCAGGTTAGCCACTTCAAAATGACTGGGATTTATTGTGCCGATGTAAACGACATCTAGAATTAATGAGAAGTTCTGAAAAAGTAGCTTTCTAGATCAGTACTTAATACAACGTTATTCCATTTCGTAGGCTTTTGACTGCTAGTTTGTTGTTAATGATAAGATACGAATGTGACAAGCAAGGATCCATACCGACTTCTGGATCTTGAGCCAATTCTTCATAAGATCCATAAGCCTTGACCGCACCAAAACGTGCTTTGTATTCTTCCGCCCGGCTCGCATTTCTCGAAGCAAAAGCCTGCAGCTAAGAGGGAAAAATATTTTAAACTGAATGGCGACCTCTTATAATACTTTGTGTTATTAATTTAACCGGAAAGTCTTACGCTTTTATTAGGCAACAGCCTGTAGTTACAGTGCACGGATTATCATATACGCTTGCGCAGAGTTATAATTGGATTAAAATGATTAAATCTTAAACATCGGTAAGTTGAGTAGCACAAATTAATAATCCTTACAAGGTGTTCAGATCTCGGCAGACTCTCCACGGCAGCAGCGAAATTGTTGGTTATGTGGCCACATCCAGCAAATCCCCATCGCAATGGTGATACAGATACTGTATAATTTTTTGCAGAAGTTGGGCGGACTGTGCAACATAGTGCTGCGAATGCGAAAAAAGCAACGCGTCGGAGAAGACGCATTTTAAATTTTAACTGCTCCGCAATGAGCCCAGATAATGGTTAAAAGATAAAAAAATATCTTAATTACGAATACTTTTAATTTACACCTTTAGAAAAGTGCAGCTTTATAGGTAAGAAAACCAAAACATACGCACAGCGAACTTAAAAGATAACATGAAATAATGACTTTAGTGGCTTCAAAATTTAGCGGCTTCAAAATTTAGCGTCTACCGGCATTCTCGCAACCGTTTGGATTGTGCTTTGCCCAGCAATGGAAGGTCCCCACCCACAGCAAATACAGAATCGAAACCGGACTTTGCACTGGCTGGACAACTTTATGTACTCTGTAGGTAGCTTGGTTCGTAGATTCTCTTCTCCTTTATCCAATACGGCGTTCAAAGCGCTCACGTTCGAAGTTTCGTTCCCGCGGACCACGAACTCCAATAGGTTGATATTGATTGTTGCACCTGCCGGTGATGCATGGTAGCCAAGTAGGCAAACTCAGGAAGAGAAAAGTAAAAGAGACTTTCGGATTAATTCCATAATAGTAGACTTAGTAGTAAGTGCAAAATTTCATATGAAGTACGGCATCAAAACATGTAGGATACATAGGGTGATACCGTAGAAGTCAAAAAAGTTTAAGTTTTTTACCATTCGTTAATCGGAATTTTTTTTGAATGGAAGCCGGCAACTTGGCGTGACCGCCGTGTTATTGGCTAATGTAGTGTAGTATACCGGTATATTATTGGTTATTATTAATATGCCGTTACTACACTTCATCGTAGACAGGATTAACCGGCATATTTGCCATCTTTGTAAAGGTCATTTTAATTGACGCCGAGCTGGTTCAGCACTTCCTCCTCGATGTTCATTATGGCAAGTGTGTCTTTATGTGTCATATGCGGGCTGTCCAGCCAACCTTCTTGCAGACAACGCCGCACCTCCTGCGCTTCATAAACCATACCAGTCCCACCTGATTCGACGTCGGTGTAAGTTAACCGGTGATTAACCTTTGGAACTGATTTCCTTCGTAATATTCGAGGAGGTTTTCGATTTACACTCAGTTTCGAAACGTTCTGGTCGCCTAAAGCTGTTGGGAATCTGTAAAAGACACTCTTTATTACTTGGAAAAAAAATCCGCAAAATTTTCTGCACCTCTATCCTTACGTCCATTGTAATAAAAGCGATGTTAACTGTTAACAGATTGTAGTCGTAGTAGCTATTAATCTAACAGATTGTCATATTATTGCCTTGATGGTCGCCGCCGCAGTGTCCACAGATATGGTCAAAGCTACACGAGGCGTTATTATGGCACTTGTTTTCCTGCCAGTTATGGCAACAGGTGTACTTGAAACGCTGCGTGCCGGCACGTTGGCCGGCATTTCCACGAAAAAGCGGTCGTTTTTTATTAGATGTTCTGCGATGAACATCTAAATCCAGCCGCCGTGTTTTTGCGTGGAAGTACTTATCGCCTGACGCCGAACGTTCATGAGAATCGGACAGATTTAAACCATCATGGTCTGCCGTTTCGCGAAATTCTTCGTCAAATCTTAAAACTGCTTTCTCTTCGTAGTCACGGCGTCGTATAGACAAAAACTCTAAATACTCAAGGTATTCTAAGAGTGACTCGTACTGTATCCGGCAAGTTGGTACTTGCCGGATACAGTACGAGCAAGTTTAACTGCGGTACGCAGACTATAGACCATAAACTCATCGAGAGATAAATCGGTCGCAGTTTGCCGGCTACGTTTACCGTTATGCAAAGTGACCTTTGGTGCTTGCTTATGAGGCAACGGTAAATGACGGGCATTAACTGACACTTTACACCGATTACGCGAGTTTGACCTTTTGCGCGAACGAGAAAAATGCGAAGAATTATCGCTATCTGTTGACTCACCCGAATGCGCAGTGGTCGACTGCTGGCGGCCGTAGTGGTGATGCGAGCGGTTGGCGGAGTAGCCACGAGAGCGAGCCCTTCCACGGTTGCTGCCGGCCGCACTGGTCGACGGGACTGGCTGCGGGTGATCGGTGCCATGCGGGGCGTTGGTGGTAATGGCAACCGGCACGTTGGCTTGCGCGGATCCGGCATTACTGTTGCGGGAACGTAACAGTTGGCGGAGATCGGACACAGCCAGTGACGCTCGTTGACTGATGAAAATCTGAATCTCGTTGCGGTCGGCGGGGAGCTTGATGAACTCCAAATCCTTCGGGTACGATTTGCTTTGGTGAAGGCGGAGGAGTTTGTCAAGGTTGGTGAAGCCGGCTTCCTCCAGATCAAGCAAGGTGGCTGGTGCAAGGCCGCATACAGTAATCAGCTCGGCCATCGGTCCAGCAGCAGCTATGCCGACGGGAGGTCTTACAGGGTGGTCATTCGGGGCAACCACGCCGTTGGCTTCCACGACGCCCTCCATGCGAGAAGGTGGGATACTATTGTGTGCGTAAAGTCGGGCCAGTAGGGTTTTGCGTACGCCGGTGTCGTCAAGGCCAGCGTCGCGACAGGCTTTCTTAAGCTCCGGAACCTTCAGTTTCTTCAGCTCGTTCTTGGAAACCATTGTAGAATTGACCGTTGGTAGTAGTGGGAGCAAAAACAGTTATTGCACGTATTACAAGAGAAGGCACGTATCTATCTGCAATAAGCAGGCTACAAGGCTATCTGCAATAAGCAGGCTACAAGGTTATCTGCAACAAGCAGGCTAAAAAATTTCTAAGCGAACTGGGAAGGTATTGGCAACTGGCTGTGCGGCAGTTGCTTATATACCTCATCCAGAAACTGACCGCTGGCCAATCTCCAAGCGGGCGGGGTCAGATGCGCCACTGACCAATAATGGACAGATTCCCTCATGGGGAATCTTAGTCTATCAATAGCTGAAATGTAAACGTAATACAAGTACTTCTATAGACACCCGAATCAGGCCAACATTACACTCGTGGAAATTAATCGACATTCAATACGAGTACTTTAAGTAGAACACTTTAAAAAAGTGTCTCACACGCACTTTGATGAACTACTGCTTCCTGTCAGAAATTACGCTTACAATTAGTTCGCCTACATTCATTGTTAAGTTGTCCAACATCAAATATCTTTTCCGGCATTTCGTTTCCGAACACTTGCAGCGCGAACTGAATGGTGTACCCTCCCAGGTCTTTCAGTGCCCCAGCACCAAGCTCTTTGCGATACACACACTGAGACGTTCTCCCACTCGTCTGATCAAGGTTGACCATCACCGTTTTGCTTTCGTCCAGTTCCGGCAGTTCTTGGCTCAGTCGATCGCACAGCCTAACACCGACTCCATACAGACTAACAAAAAATGCGCTCACCAGAAATTACAGTAAGTACGAGTACCTATTTTACCGGCCCATGCACAATACTTAACACCATGCAGATACAACAGAATACCATGTTAACGTGCCTTTTTGATAGATTTACTCTGCAGAGTAAAATTGTATTACACGAAAACATTGGTCATCCGTTGCATTTTGAGAGTCATTACGAAAACCTATCTTATTCTTGCCTCTTTGATGTACAGCTTCAGCTGTTCGGATTTCTGGACAAGCTTAACAGCTTCGTCGGCTTTGAGGGTCAACGGTTTCTCGCATAAGACGTGTTTGCCATGGTCCAGCATCAAATTTGCAACTTCCAAATGGTTGGGATTGATTGTACCAATGTATACGACATCTGCAACATACAGCACTGTACGAGTACAGAGCAGCCCATGGATGAACAATCATTCAACGGAAATAAATTTATCCCGCCATGATCTAGCATGGTAAAACCGTACCGACTTCTGGATCCTTTGCTAACTCTTCGTAGGATCTATATGCTTTTGTGCCATCGAATAGTTTCCTGTATTCTTCGGCTCGGCTTGCATCAAGAAGGCTTGCAGCTGTACAATGTCAATGTGTAATAATTTTATGAGTAAATCCATCAGCTCCATCAACTTATTTACAGTAGCTTATGTTATGAGCATCTGCGTTTTCATATAGTCATTATGTAATTTATGAGTACATTCATAAGCTCCATCAATTTATTTGCAGAAGTACTCTGTAGCTTATGTTACGAGCATTTACAATACGTTTTCATATACTGACATCGTGCTCAGTCCTTGGTAAACTTTCGACGGCGGCAGCAAGATTATTAGTGATACGACCGCATCCTAAATCCCCTTCGGAGTGGAGATACTGAGATGGTATAGTTTTTAGCTGTGACTGGATACACAGTTCACAAAACGCCGGCAACAATCGAATAATTTTGTTGTTATGCACACGCCTATCACTAAAATATATAACGGATATAACGCCAAACTAGTTATATCCGTTAAAATTATAATTAACTCGAACAGCAGAATCGGAACTACTAATTTGATAGCAGGTGCGGAAATAACGCAATCTCGTTCAGTGTAACTACACAGCCATATTAAATATTCCATAGCAGTACAGCAAATGGTGCAAAAATAATCAAGCTTATTCATCACTGCATATACGTAGAAATTTCCACTTTCTATGGGTATGAATTTTCAAGGTGGCTGGCTGCTCAAAAAATTAATGATCGCAAGTTTATTCGTTACTGTATATTCAGTGCTTCCACTGATGTGAGCTCTAGCTAACATCACAGACCGGGTCTTTGCAATGGAAATTTCCCATTTTCCGGCCGTTATGCACATCGAATGCGAGACAGCCCAATCTTCACTCACGACTTTTCTGGTAAAAATCTAAAACATGTTGGGGCGGGGGTGAAAAGCATGGAAGAGAAATAAGTACATAACAAAATCAATTACGAGGCAAATACAAACCAAAAAATTATCGATGGCAAGCAAAATGCTTTATTGGAATGTGATTTTTGCAATTCTTTACAGAGAAAATTACAGAAAAAGCTTTTTTTTCTTACAGAGAAAATAGGCCCTTTTTAGTGGATTTGCCATAATCCCCACTTTGGTAAACGAGATTGTTAACTTACTAATCAATATCACTAAAAAAAGCTGCAGAGAAAGAAGCGACTATGCCGCCAAGTTAACAGTTTGAAACGTTGTAGGTTAAACCCCATCATAAACAGAATTAAGCAGTGATCCAACATATCTGCCATCCTTGTAAAGGTCATCATAATTAACGCCAATCTGTTTCAGCACTGCTTCCTGTATATTCATAATGGCAAGTGTATCTTTGTGCGTCATATGCGGACTTTCCAGCCATCCTTCCTGCATGCAGCGCCGTACTTCCTGCGCTTCGTATACCATGCCAGTACCGCCGGCAGCGCCGCCACTATACGTCAGCCGGTGATTGACTTTCGGAACCGGGTACTTTTCTTTCGTGGTGTTGGTGGATGTTTTGGATTTCCTCTCTAATTCGAAATGTTCCGGTTGCATAAAGCTATTTGGAATCTGCAAACATACCGTTCGTAAAAGTTCGTAAAAGATCGTGTACTTAAGCCGAAGCGCTACCTTGATTGTTCCATTTGCACCGAAAACAAATGCCTCATTCGGCATTTCCGCTAGCGTACTGACTGCCAGTTGCGCAATTCCACCATTTTTCCACTGGATCAACAACGATGTAGTCGTATCAATTGCTGTTGAATCAAAAAAGAACACACAAATTAGCATTTGCTATTGTTCTAATATTAGCTACAGATTCCAATTTTATATATACTTTCACTTTTTAAATACTTTTCATATTTTCATTTCATTCGTTTTATGCTTTTTTTCGTTTCATACTTTCGTTCCTTTTTATACTTTCGTTTTTTTATTTCATACTTTTTGTACTGATGTACTTTCGTTTTTATATACTTCTCATTTTTAAATACTTTTATATACGTTTTATTTATAAGTTTATTTATAAGTTGAGGGATATACTTTCGTTGTTTAGCTGTGCAACGGCCGAAATCTTTTCAGGCATTTCGTTTCCAAACACTTGGATGGCAAACTGGATGGCATAGCCACCAATGTCTTTTAGCGCCCCTCCACCCAGTTCCTTCCGGTATAGTCGCTGCGAATAACGTCCACTGGTCTGACCTTTGTTGACCATCACTGTTTTGATGTCGCCGAGACCTGGAAGTTCCTGACGAAGGCGCTGATAAGCCGGAAAGAACCGGCTCCATACGGCCTGTCATATAGGATAACATATGTTTCATGATGGCGCTGTTAACTGCTAAGTAAGTGCTAAGTACAGCATTAATCGAAGTAATGGTAGTACACAAATATGCATTGTTCCAGCTTTTTAGTTAACCAACGTGCTTTCTCGTACTTCTTGAAAGAAAAGCTTCAGCTGCTCGCTTCTTTGAATTAGCTTTGCTGCCTCGTCGGCTTTAAGGGTCAGTGGTTTTTCGCATAAGACATGTTTGCCGTGGTCCATCAGCAGGTTAGCCACTTCGAAATGATTCGGATTTATTGTGCCAATGTAAACGACATCTAGAATTAATCAAGAGTTTTGAAATAGTAGGTTCCTGGATCATAATACAGCGCTTTTCCAGTTCGTACTCGGTAGGCTTTTGACTGCTAATTTGCTGTTAATGATAAGACGACGAATATACGAGTACAAAAAAGCAGCATCCATACCAACTTCTGGATCTTTCGCCAGTTCTTCATAGGATCCATAAGCTTTGAACGCACCGAAACGTGCCTTGTATTCTTCCGCCCGGGTCGCATTTCTCGAAGCAAAAGCTTGCAGCTTGAAAAACCCAAAACCGGTAAATTAAACGGGTAACCGGTAAGCACAAAAATTATACTTACAATGTGTTCAGATCTCGGCAAACTCTCCACGGCAGCAGCGAAATTGTTGGTTATTCGACCACATCCGACAAATCCCCATCGCAATGGTGATACGAACACTGTATAATTTTTTGCCGTAGTTGGGTGGACGGTGGAACATAGTGCCGCGAATGTGAAAAAAGCTACGCATGGGAGAAGACGCATTTTAATTACTTCGCAATCAGCCCAGACGATAAAAGATTACACTGACTTCCTAATACTTTTAATTAATACCTTACGAAAGTGTGCAGGCTGTATGGGTAAGAAAACTAAAACATACGCACGGGAATTTTAAAGATGACATGGAACAACGACTCTAGTTGCTGCAAAATTTTATTGTCTACCGGCAGTCTCGCGACTGTTTGGATTGTGCTTTGCCCAGCAGTGGAAGATCCCCACCCACAGTAGAGAATCGAAACCGGACTTTGCACTGGCTAGACAACTTTATAATGGTAGCAGCTCCTGACAGTTCCTGTGGCTTTCTTGCAGACGTCTGGTGCTGCGTGTATATTATATTATGCGCGAAAGTGAGTTTGGAGTGGTATTATGCAGTCAAATTACAGTAATACGAGTACAAGGCAGGTCAGTCTCTTTATACTGTGTGTGCGAGAAATTATAAGAAGGTGATATGGTGTAAGTTAATAAAGTCGCTGCTCATGGCCGTGCCAACAAGTTCGCACAATCAAATTTGTACACTGTGGCTAGCTGGGTACATGTCCATATGTACAAAGTGGTATAGTAAGCAATAATTTCTAACGCCCCGGTAAAAGTATCTGATCATTTACGAGTTGGATCGTTTGCTAGTTGTCTGTAAGATAAAAGTATTTTACTATTAGTGTCAGCCGACTGTCTGCGAACATTTTAGTGCTATCGCACAACGAACAAAATGACAAAATTATTACAAATTACATAACATTAACGCTAATCGTGCTCGTTTGACCATTTGTCGCTCGGAGGATCATGTCCGGGCAAGTACTCGAAAGCCAGCGATACCCAAACGGTCGCAACTGAGGGGCGCCGTTGGTCATCGACTTCCATGGAGACGTAATATTTCCGTTGATATTATTTCTAAAGGATAATTGGTCAAAAAATCGAAAGAAACACGTAGGAACGCACAGATTTAAGTACAACGCACCGATTTTATGGGTGAATTGCTAATTTTCTAATGTTACTGACTTAAGGCAAATAGATAAATGCTGCTGAACTATAGATAAATGCTGCTGAAAATGCAAAAACGACTGTTGCACTTCTCTGCATTCCAGAAAAGCCAAACTGTACCACTGAATCGTTATAGGAAATGGTCATTCATGCTTAACCAAAAATTAGTCAAACCAGCCGTCAAATAATTTCCAGCTGCCGCGGGGTTTTTTGGTGGTCGTGCCGGGCGGTCTGGTCGATGTTGGTACTGGTTTTTTAGTGGTAGTATCTGGCAGTCTAGTCGACGTTGGTACTGGTTGCGGCGGAGACTTTTCAATTTCCGAAGGTTTTCCACTGAATTTATTGGGTTGAGAAAGCGATTTATATGATAGTACACTAACTACGAACGATTCGATCTCGGCTTCGTTTTTCCCACGTAGAATTCGAAAGGTCCCATCTTCTCCCCACTGTGTCCCCCACGAGTTCATACACAGCTGTGATAAAAAAGAATGCATGAGAAAAACGACGTACCATAAAGTTTACTAGATAATTTAAACGTACGAATATAATATACAGTAGTGACCAGCTTAAATCTCCAACTGTAATCCTGGTTTGCCGAACATTTTTGGTTTTGATGCAACTGCTTACCCAGTATTTAGTGGAAATCCCATCAGTGTGGTCAATACCCCAACCGATAATTCTCGTTGAATGGTAGGAGTTGGGAGACTGCAGATAATGCTGATAACGCGGATGCAGGCGAGCATGACTAGAGACATGGTACACGCCACTGCGGTACATAAAAAAGTCAGGGAACACTTGAAAGACCGCTTGCACCGGACCGTGACGGTAAATCTCGCTCATTATCGCGTCCTCCTACAATGGGTGTATTTTCAGAGCAAATCGATGTCATATTGTCATGTAAAGCTTTCCGAGCTACCTGACTTGCAAGAGCAGTTTGTAAGTTGATCGTAGCCGAATACTTGCTATATTCTTACATTCGATGTACCTCGTTAACAATTGCAAGGTTAGCGGTGAATGTTTATTATACGAGGTACGATAGGCGCTTATCATAATTTTGTAGTGCAACTTGCGCGTACTGGTTTCCAAGCCGATGATACGACATGGCAAAACATTCATGGTTTCTTTTACTGACTTTTGAATCAATGAGATACGGGGGTCCAGCAGTGTACAGAATGCGTTGATCGGAGGCTCGGTTGGGGCAGTCCCACACGCCGGTTGTGTTTCCCACGGTTTCCACGGGACAGTACCCACTACGTCCTGGACAGCGATCATCTGCGCACAGTTTTCCGAAGGGATAGCACTCATCTTGCAGAACCCTAGTTAACAAAATTAGTGGCCGTGCTGTCCGCATACATACATTCTATCCTCGTACTGTGCCACTGCACAATGCCCAAACGAAGCCCTTGTGACCTTTACCCTTTATACGTAAAGTACTGCCATGCTCGATCGACCAGTCCACCCTTACATCCTTGATATGCCGGAATCGTCTCACAGGACATCAACTGTTGCACCGAAAAGGACAGTTTTTTGGAGCCTTTACTCATTATGGCGATACGATCTGCTGCAACGGCTACAAACACAGGCAACGGCTTAAAGACAAAAATGCAGCCATGTGCCACGGCACGGTGTTCCTATGCTACATTACTCTTGTTTCAAAGAAGGTTTTTTAGGGCGGGTAGCGGAATAGTAGGAATGCTTACCGGCAGTAGAAAATGCCCATGAGACTGCGCAGTTGCCTTGATCACGGATCTCCTGTATAAGACCGGGCCATTTTAGCCGGGCGTCAAAATTGTCGGGAAGGTCTTGCGGTTTCGTCCTAATGGACAGCATGTTAACGAAGCTCTTCTTGGTTCCCAATCGAAAGCGGCATCCTTCCTCCAGTGTCAGGCCCCACATAAAAGAGTAGTTGCTTGCTTTCCATCTGCAACAGAGGCACTACGCTATAGTACCCCTAGCCGCGCAGTTTTATAAGATTTTACAGTAACTGTCTTCAGCTGATTCTTACACACCTGTACTTGTCAGGATTGCTGTTAATGTCGATAATGATATCCTCATCAATGAGACACTCGATTTTATTATCACAATCAAATGCAAACGGCTTGTCGTCGGCGTCCGCGGTTTCACGGCAGGTGCTATAGTGATGTAACCACGAAAACCAGCACAAGTAAGTAGAAATATTCGTAAACAAAGCAGACTCACATAATCAGTTGTTTACTTGAACAAAGTTTTGTGTGAATGAACCTACGTGCCGGTGCAGGCATTCTCACTGTCTGCAATCCTCTTTGAATTGCAGGTTTCCTGTTAAGCGCAAGTACGCTATCGTGCTTTGACCTTTTCAGTGCTTTTGCCTTGTGCTCGCTTTTTCCTTGAGGTTGCCATTTGATTGACTTGTGAGTTTTGTGGTTTGTTAAGTAGTTTTAGGTATACCACTATCGGAGGAATGATCCCCTATATATCTGCATATGTTTGCATATTTGTGGTCATAATTTGGACAACCGGCATGCCAGTAGACATAACATAATTTCGGTGGCGCGCACTTAAAGAATCTTTGCATAATTTTATGTACAATTTCCATTTATTCCCATTTTACTTATATTTTTTTTATACGGTCTTCTATACGGTGCATAGGAGTTTCAAATCAACAACTAGCAACAATATGGGCTGCTTTGTTACTCAAATTAATCATGCTGGCAATAGTAGCATAACCTACCGCAGTTTTGCGTTAACTACCTATAAGCATGTCCGATACTTACCAAACGCGGCAGTTCTTCTGCATTCTGTTGTCAGCTTCATACAACTTATCACCATCCCAACAACCTGCAACGAACGGTAAAAATCGTATAAGCTGCACTTCTTTGCAATGAATATAAAAATTTTGTAATTTCATATGCAAAGTGAGCATTGTAATAACTCTCCCCGTGACCTCTTGAATTAACCGAAATTTACAGGCTATTTTTAATCTTCGTCCATTATTTTCCAAGACCAAAGCCTGCATATGTTGTGGACAGTACGAGTAGTCCTACTAATGTACATGTTAAATGCAATACCTAGAGAATCTGAATCAGGTTGTGGTATGGTCCACGTGGCGTCGTCCGGCGCGGTCGTTGTTGTGGTTGTCGTAGTTGTGCGTCTGGTGGTGGTCGTTGTTGTAGTGTTGGCACTTTCCATGGTCATTGTGGGAAGGTTACTGATTCCGCGGCAATGCGAATAGAAATCTGGACAACAGTCGGGAATGTCACCATCATCCCGCCGATCACAGAAGTCATCACAGTAGCAAAGGGTATCGTATCGGCTATCGCCTTGCGTTTCTGGATCAGCCGGACGAATATCTACAGCGCATTCATCGTTTCGGTACAAACAGCATCCACCTGCGTCCGCTGGTAGTTGTGAGCAGTAACTTCCGGGAATTCCTTCGAATCCAACGGCGGTAGCCATATTTATCCAGAGGAGTGATAACGAGAATACGCAGATCAGTAATCGGGTGTCCATAATAAATATTATTATCAGCGTATTGCACGGGTGGTAGGGCACTTGTTATGAGAATTCGCTAGGTCGGTTTAAGGCAAAGAGCACTTTTGTAGTTCTGCATATTATGAGTCTATGACAACTAACCGACCTTCGTCCACAAACCTTCCAACTAATCTTTGTCCAAAAATAAACCACATTTATAGCACTAAACCGGTGCTACATGGTTTGTGGTTTTTTCATTGAGAAATCCGATTGGCGCAGCCCATTCATACATATTTCCCATCGTAATTATTATTATTATTATGATTTTTTTACGTGCGACAGATCACCATGCCGTACGATAAAACTTGCAGACATAGTACGTTCACACCTAGCGAATACGTGATTGCCTTGCAAGAAAATTTGCCGCTCAACACCGCGTGATATCATTTTGACTGGCAAAATGAATACTTTAGTATAGTTCTACATAATTATTACGTATGTGACTAACCATAACTAGTAGTAAGAAGTAGTGTTGTACTTCGACAGGGCAGTTTGTTGTCTCGATCGCTCCCCAAACAGGGTCGGTGGTAACTTGTAACTGATTGTGAAAAATAAACCGGCAGTCGAGGCTAACGCTTTTCAATCCATGAGAAAATCTCAAAGGTATTTAAAGGGTTTCCCTTATGATTTAGAATATTCAAAACAACCATAGTTATGCGAACGGAAATATAAAATCAATTTCTTCCGCTTATAACGCAATGCCCAAATGCAGTGCATAAACAGAAGACAACGCTGTGCGTATATTGAATTAAACATAATTATATCATGCCTAGTCATAACTGCAATGCAAAGGTCACACGGCAGTCAAAATGAACAAATCAGTAACTTTATAAGTGCTCATAACATTGACTGCGGTTCGGAAGACACGTTCACTGTAAAAGCAAAACCTTTGGCAAATTGGTTTCACGTACAATAAAGGTCAAGCAAGACAGAGAATGGTCTCGCGGCAGTCAAAACACACACTATAAACACTTTAAATTAAACACTTTAATTATTTATAAACTGTGTTCGTTATTACAATTTAACTGGGCGATTCACAACCTTTAGCTTTAATCCCGATCATGAGGTACGTTCGTACCAAAAGTATTTACTGCTGGCAGTTATGGCCCTTTCGGCATTACTGGTTCGACCAAAACGGTCCATACAATTCCCCCAAAAACATGTTCATGTGTCAGAAGCTTTTATGCCATATTGTACCGAGTAAACTGAGTTCTGGCTTTCGCTGTTGCCGGTACTTGGATCAGTTACTCGTGCGCCGGCCGGTGTTCTTGTCAGATCAGGCGTAAATTCCCCTATACGAGCGTACAACTGCGGGTACATTGACCTGGACACTGCACTCCCGTCGCACATCACCCATCCCCGCGGCAGCACCATGTTCCCGGCAAACGCCACAATCGCTCCGACCGGCAGACCATCATTTCTCCCGGTTCCCGCATGCGACACCTCACTATGCGGCAGCATAACCAATCCCTGAATGGCCATTCCCACCGCCAAACACACCATGATATCTTTCCTGGCGAACCGGAACGTCTTGTACAGACAGATGGTCAGCGTCATCAACAGCGAGATGTACGCAATGTACTTGATGGTAAAGTATCCATCCATCATAATGAGCTTGATGGAACCGACACTGTACTCCCAGCTGTCGATCATCTCCATGATGGAACGCTCCCCGGTGCCCACGACCTTGTCGACTTGCTCCAAGAACGAGGAGATGGTCGTCTCAACCGTGGAGACAGTGTTGTGCCAGGTGGATAGCACATCGTCGTCAACGTCAACGGATAGTCTGGGTTGGTAAGTTTTCAGGTCGGCCACAGCGTGGGCGATGATGGCGGCGCTCTGAGAGATCTGCTGACCGAATTCTCGACCCATCACGGCGATGTCGCTGCCGAAGGTTTTGATCGAGTCGGGTAAATCCTCTTCCGATAATGTCATAGTAAACCTGGGAGGACGTAAGCGGCAGACAGCGTTGACAATTGAATTTCAATTTCTACAGTGCCTAAACGCTTTTGTGGCTCAAGCATTAGTAAGAGGCACTACTAAGAGCGTATGGCTTCCGAATGTAGTTTATTACCTGGGAACCGGGATTGCAGTTTTAAAAGAATAAATCTTTAAGTAGGTGTAATTTTCGAAATTACGTGTATATCGGCACTGCTAGTCCTGTATGCAGCAGTGTATCTGTTGACTGTTGTTAAAGTGCTCTATGAAAACAATGGATCGGTTGCATGTTGTATAATTACAGATAATTATTATCTTATCAACTTTGATAATTCGGGTTCCTAATCAAACAGCGCCAATTGACTGAGACATTCAATATTTTGGTAAGTACAGCGACTACATTACAAGTCTGCAAGATATCATTACGCATAGGTTCTGTGAATTCCAGATACCGTACTCTGCATTGTTACTCATAACGGGTAAGGTAGCAAAAGTAATCGGAGTCGAAGTTTTGAAATCACAAAGGAAGATCCAAAGAAATTCCTACTATTGTCATTTTATTGATATTATCTGTATCCCCAGTATTATTATGGCTAGCCGGAAAACGGAAGGACGAATGAAGCGTAAAGCCCGTTATGGACGAACCGGTCGTACCACGACCAATGTGTTTTCCCAGTTTAAACAAGAACAGATCCAGGAGATGAAGGAAGCCTTTGAAATGATTGACCAAAACCGAGACGGGATCGTCGATAAACAGGATCTCCATGTTATGTTAGCTTCGCTAGGTAAATGCATGTATCTATACACGGTTTTTCAAATCAGGCTTACTAGTAGCTGGAAGAAACGGAAATGTGACTTTGCACAACGCTTTAGTTTATACGATTATCGTCGCAAATCAAGTACGAGAATTACGGGAAAAAACGAATATACTAAAATAAGATTTTGCTATAGGACATGAACCATCAGATAGTCAAATCGAGACAATGTTGGCAGAACTGCCGTGTCCTATGAATTTCACTCTGTTCTTGGCCATGTTCGGTGATCGACTACAAGGAACGGATCCAGAAGACACCATACGCAACGCATTTAGCGCCTTTGATGAGCAAGGCACAGGTTCGTACTCATGTGAACACTAACAGACCGTAATAATCAAAATATTTGTACGATATCAATCATATTATTATTTGACCGAAAGACACAGTACATAATCAAAAATGTCGTCATCAGTATAAGTAAAGGAACTACTATACATGCAATGAGAATTCAAATGTTCGAAAGATAACGCAAACCAAAACCTGGTGTGCTTCAGGCACAATTGACGCCGGTCTGGTGCGCGAAATGCTGACCAGTATGGGTGAACAGCGTCTCACCGATGACGACGTCGATGCCATTTTCCGCGATGTGCCCGGGACCGCAGAAGGTCTCTTCAACTATATGGAGTTCACCAGGACTATCAAATACGGTATTAAAGAGCAATCCGCAGACCAAGGCCGTGTTGAAACACTAACGACGGAACCGGAAATTTTACCCACGATTACGGAACTCTGAGTCTTTAGAAGGGTCAGTTCGACTGTCGCAGCTACACTGCATACATCGGAGAGTTGAAACGTTCATTCTTTTCCGGATAACAATAAGCTGCCACTGATAAACGGTATTTTATATAGCCTAAATCCGTGAGTTTGGCGTTGAATTCAAGTCATAAATCCAGACAGTGATATTAAGTTGTTAAATGTTTATAACGCTTTGTTGATGACCTTTAAAGGAGAAGATCGACCGCAAGAGTGCAATGTGGCTTTCAAGCGATCGTTTGCAGTGCAAGCAGTATTTGGAATACGCTCCACTCGAATCTTTCAATACGGAGTGTTTCTGTAAACTTAGCTGGTATCACTTGCAATACACGCTGATAAGTACTTGTACTGTAATAAATCGCATATATTAAATACTAAAGAGGCATCAAATATTTCAGTTTTACTGTTGAAAAACTGCACCATATGCACGGGGATTGTTTTGCACTCTGCAACAACTTGATGCGTTTACGCTTTAAGTATCCGACTAACCGGGGTAAATGTAAGAATCGCAGAAGTTTGTTACCGGAGCTAATCACTAGAAATTCTACGAAATTAATAAAATTATTTTTTAACGTCAAGGTGACCTTCCAACGCGATACTGCGTATCTTGCCTGGTGACTGGTGTCAAAGCCGACAATTTATTTGACTTTCCTTAATTTGTTATTAAAAACTATGACAATAGAATTAGAACAGAATGATGTAACAGGCAAGCGCGAGGAGATCACGAGTGATGCTTTATTGTACAAATAAAGGAACAATGCTGCGTAATAGCAGGGAATGCAAGACAAAGCACTGATGGCTAAACAAGCAAGTGAATGCTAAGTGGGTTCTTGAGCGTCTGTCAAGGCGTGAAAGAAGCAACTGGCGGCAAGCACGTGCTGTGTGCCATCAGCTGTGTGATGATGCGCAGACTGGACTCAATCCAACGCGAGCGTACGCTGAGTCATACAGCGAGAGAGGGACGAGAGAGCAAGTATGCTCAGTGTGTGCGCCGCATATATCCGCTTCAGCGGATATGAGTGCAGTGCAGCAGCACACGTACGTACAGCGAGAGAGGCGATATGGCAAGCATGAGTGCAGTACGTCCATGGTGGGCCGTATGCACCAGGCGCAGTCATGTGCCTCTGACATGCCTCTGGGCGGGAATCCGAGCTCCTGCGAAGGATGCTCCGACTCGGTACCGCACCAGTACCGCACAACTCTCCAGTCGGACCCAATGTGGGGTCGCTGGTACGCGTCCTCTGGCAGTGGGAGTCCGGTGTCTGGTTGACCGTCCCTTCTTCACTTCCAGACCCATGAGTGGAAGCCACTCACGGCCGAAAAATCCGGAAGCCGCTCGATGTTCGTTGTTGGACCGGTGATGCTTCGGTTGGCTGGCTTCTTGCTTCTGTTGGCAGCGGAGAACAATGTGAAAGAAAATGTAATGAAAGTTTATGCAGCGCGAAAGAAAGTATGAAATAAAGTTTTAATCACAATTCCAGTGAGCAAAAGGGGTTACAAAACAGATCTGTTAAAGAGATCAAACTAGAAAAATACAATTCCGTTTGTTAGGAAAATGCTAAAAAAATGCAAAAATCTGTCCAGGGTCCTATTCCGACTAGGATGACGTCCACGGGGTCTCCTGTCCACTTTCATCCGGTAAGTTGGGTCCGGGGCATCGGTTCCGGGTTACCCGTCGTAACCGGTTAAATTCACCGAGGTCGGATAAGCACGGTTAAACACTTACTTCCGACTCGCTATCCGTCTGTTTGGGATAGAGAGGCACTGTTGCAGAGTGCAAATGCCGAGGCATCCTCTGAATGGGGAATAGGACCGAGGTCGGTTTGACCAAGGTCGGCCTACCGGTAAGTCGACCGGCGGCTGGGGAAATTCGGCTATGTTCCGAATTCTTAAAGTCCAGGTCGGAAAAAGCTGTAAAGTCATGCGGCCTGTGTGGTCGTCATGTACAGCAGTTCCGTTCAAAAGTGGTCGGTTACAACCGTTCAATCTGCTACCACGAGCCTGGTTTGTAGTAATCCGAGTCGAACTGGCTCGAAGGTCCGGTCGGAATTCATGAGTTTCATCGATGGAAGTGTCCAGTCGACTTCCATCCAATCTGTTCCGTTGTTATCCGACCTTCTGTCGAGGTCGGTTATCCTATCCGTCAGTGGTCGACTAGGGTTAACCTGCAATAACATGCCCATGTGGGGCTAAACAAGTTCCTTCCCGTCGAATTCGTCCACCGCAGATATCTGTCGTTCTTCTTCCGTCATGTTGACTGAGTCGCTGATTTCCGACTTGTATTCAGTTGTGGTCGACTTCGGAAGGTCGGATGAACTAAGTCTTCATCCGTTCGAAGGTCGGATTTTTCCGTTAGAGGTCGGTTCTCGACTTCTAAATGCCTTTGCCGACTTGTTGTCGTATCCTTCCAACTTCTGTACGGTCACCTTCCGACCCGGCCTGAGGTCGGATATCCATGTCCAAGTTCGGAGGTCGGCTATTCTGCGATTCTCTCAAGTCGGAAAAACTTTGTGTTTTATCCGACGAAAGGCTAAGTTCTTCCACTAGAGGTCGATTTCGTACTTCTGGTTGATTTTCCGACTTGTTGTCGCTTACTTCCGACCTCCATCTGGTGGTTGTCGACTTCATTTTAGGAGTTCTGTGCGTTCGGCTACAGTTGGCCGGGTCCTGGTGTCAGGACATCCTTCGGTCAGTTCGACTGGCAGAGGGATGTTCGGCAACAACTCCGTTCCTTCTGTGATTTCTGACGTGAACTCCAGGTCGGATCCGAGCTACTGTTGAGGTCGGTCAATCCGAATTGCTTGCTTCTGGGTCGCCCAGTCCTGCGAGGTAAGGTTTTCCTCCGGCATCTGTTGGCCGATTGACTGGCGTTTCATCATGCACTGCGCTCGCTCACAACGCTAAGGGTCTTTGTGGCCCCGGTTGCCGAGCCGAGCTCTTTGGTTTAAACTGCATGCACATGCAAGTCCCTGAGGTCGTCAGATCTGATTCTTCCATTTTGTTTTGTCGCGAACCTGTGACGCCTAGCCGCTTCTGTTGGGGGTAGACGACTCACGTCCACGGGGAGATTTTCTTTTGCCGGTAACGCTGGCCAACTGGCCGTTACTGTTGGCAGATGGTCATCGCTACCGGGGAGTTCTATGCCGCTGACGAAGGCCGACTGATCGTTACTGTTGCGGGCAGGCGGTCGTCGTCATCGGGGTCCGTTGGGGTGCAGGTCGGATGTTCTAATCCGGTCTGCCTAGGATGTTCCATTTGAGACATACAGGTCCTCAATGGAGCTCGTCGGAGAGTTCCATTGAGACAAGGAAGCAGGTCGCGGCGGAGTCGTTGGTACACCAGTATCCAAATCACCGTCGCTGTTCCTCTTCAGGGAATGGCAGCACGTTCAAAGACGCGCGTAGTCGTGGTCACCGGTGAATCGGCTGGTTTACCTGATGTCGTCCGGGGAGACTGCGGTTGATCTCCAGGTACAGAGTCTGTAGGTCTGGATTCAAACGGAGAATCCGGTTAAGTTACCACGTTGCTACTGCCAGCTTCCGTCCATGGTCGACTTCTTGTTGGTCGGCTACCAAATACTCCGTCGATCTGTGATCGTCTAAAGGTAGCGAGTCGTGGTTCTAACGATCTGCGTCGTTACAGGTCGAACAGTTTTCAAAACCGATCTTTGTGATCGGCTTGCACAACCGACCTTTGTGGTCGACTTGCGCAGCGGTGTCCATTATGTCTCCCAGTTATGGGCAAAGTACGAAGTCGACCTTTGTGGTCGGCTCCCGTACCTAGTCAAATCCGAGTCTTCCTGCACTGTTGGCGGCTCGGCCGAGGGATTTCCGCTGTTTACAATGGTGAAGGCTGCTCGGCTACCCGGTTCCGAAGTTGGCCACGGGTGCTTGGCAAACATGGCGTGAAACGCGCGCAGTCACGTGTTTCGCGCCATGTTAGCGTAATCCTCTCGGTTTCTTCTCCGGAGTCGGTTGGCCGGAGTAATTCTCCATGTAACGCGGGTTGGGGCTTCTGTTGGCTCCGATGGTCGCAGAACGTGGTTGGCGATCTGCTTTTGTTAGCAGATGTGGTTACGATCTGTCTTTGCTGCTGGGGAACTGGGGTCGGTTGCCCAGTTCGTTCCAGGGATTCCTTGGGGACGTACCGGTACGGTGAAAGAGCCGAAATACCCGGGTCTAACCACGCGTTTCCGGGTCCAACCAAAGAATCCGGCCGACTTGTGTAGTCGGCTTTCTGGCACAAGTCGTCGTTGACGTCCGCCGCGTACATGGTTGGTCATTTTCCAAGAAAAGAACTGAAGTGTAGTGTCCATTCCGAAGTCGGTTCTCGACGGCGCTGTTTCTCAGCTAAACTGTTTCTCAGTCGGAAGGTCGGTTCTCGACCGTGCCGTTTCTCGGCAATGCCTCCTTGAAATTATTCCATGGGGATCGAGTTCCAATGTGGGAACTCGATCTTAACTGAGTGGACTTCGACGGGTTTGTCGCCGCCGAAGTAATCTTCTTCTTCGTCATCGTCCGGCCAGGTCGGTTATGTGGCCGTATGTTCGGGTCCTCGGTTTACAAAGTCGTCGGGCCGCTCCGTTGAGACATCTCGTCGGTCTCATCTGTTTCTGGCCTGGGCGCTCCGCTCTGCTCTTCCTCGATTCCTGGCCGCTTGTTTGCGGAGCCGCAGCGAACGGTCGTGCGCCGGGTGCTATGTCATCCGACATCCAAGGTTCGTAGGGCGACGAGTTGAATCCGCTAGGCAAAGTTTTCTTTTCGCGGTACCAGCTGATGAATCGGTTGCGTCGTCGCTGGGATCTACGTGATCCTCACTAAAGGCATACTTTGTCGCATACCGTTCGTGGGTGTACAGCAAGTCACGCATCCAGACAGCTAGGATAACACTTCTCATTGGTGTGCCGAGTTGGGCTACGAGGGTTTCCTACAGCCGTTGTATCATCTCATTCTGGTACAAGCCGTATAATGTATAATGGCAGTAGTAATTGCCAAGTCGAGCTGCGAAGATGAATCGCAGAAATGCCGTGACTCCGTCTTGGGCCGTGTCAACTTCTCCTTCCGGAAGATGCTGGGTTAAATCCAGTGCTGCCCGAGCCGCGGTGATTACAAAGGCTGGGTGTGCGTCCGTGATGACGAACTGGGCAACACTCTCCAACTCGTCATGGGAGTATTCCCGAGCCCTAGTTGGCTCGCACGTGTTCCGTCCGGGCTGTACAATGGTATTTGAGCAAGACCGGGTCGGTCATCGACGGCAACGCGTTCGATCTAGTGTACGGGTGTTCAACATTCGGCGCTGTGTGCGCGTTCATGTTGAAGTCGGCCGCCACTGATGTTGTTCGAACAGCGCCTGGTAT